TTTCAAATACTCTACAATAAGCTTCAATACCTAAAATATGTTGCACTTTGCTGCTAGAAAAATGTTTTTCTCTATACTGTATTGAGAATAGTGATAAATAAAATTTTTTTTTAACAAAACTAATGCACTTTGTGAAAATTGCTTTAAAATCCATAAAGTTATTAGATCCAAGTCTGTCCAGAAAGAATCAAAGATACAAGAATCAGCACTAGGTAAATTCCTTCCTGTCAGCCAAAATTTCGGGACACACTTTTCGGTCATCCACGTGGTAAATGTACGCCTTCAAAGCTACATCATTTTGATTTCTCTATGCAAATTTTTACACGACACCCTGCTACGATTTCTGTCTCTTGAAAAACATATTAATCTGCCAACTACTTAATTTTTGTGCATATTTAATGGTTCACTCAAACGTCCACCAGTGTCACGAAACCCGCAATAATCATCGAGCGCGCGCGATCCATTGTTTTCCCTGCAATAGTCGCTATTTCCTTGAGCCCTATCTCCCTCCCTCGGTCTGACCATAAGAGCACAGTGCCGAGTCACAGAATACTCGCCTCGCCACCCTAAATTAGCAGCAGCAACACACGAGCGTATACCCCATTGGAAAAAAAAGCTTGGTGTATATTATAGTTACGGTTGCTCCTTTGTTCGATTAGCGGGTCGCCGACAATCGGTAGAACAAGTGGCGCGCGGCCGTGCCTTTTACCTCCAGAGGTTTCGTTCTCACAGCAGTTACGTGCTATCTATACATTTACAGAGACGCGTGAGAGTGTGTAGGTGCTATCCACGATTTTCGCTCTTTTCCATCTCATCCCCCCTGCCCTGTACTTGCATAGTCTATCATACACGCCGATGCTCTCTTCGAGTGGGTATATTTACACTGTAATGGTAATCGAGAAGTTATACTTTTTTGGGCGATTCATGAGTTGCTCATACATATTACATACACTTCATTAATTATTGGGATTTCGAGGCAATGGAAAATCTTACCGTATTTGTAAAGGCCAACGACCTCTACCGGTCTTTGGTGTCTAGACGTGTGTTTCGATCACACGCGGCAAACAGAGCCAATTGTTTTATTTAAGGTGGAAATATGTTTGAAATTAAAAGGCAATGGTTTTGGACAGCAACTATTGTAAAAACATCATTAAAATTTATAAAATTGAAAATTTTTTGGCTTAATATTATCCGATAGTGTTTAACTATCAAGAAATACTTTTCAATGCGTAAAAATCAAAAAATCAAATGCCTTTTTTAAAGATCATGATTTAATTATTATTTTGTGTATTTATGCACGACAGCAAGAAAAATAACTATTTGTGATGATACCTGTAATTCTGCATAACCGGAAATTTTTCAATTATTCAAGATTGTCATTTATCGTGTTAAGTACATGTTAATGTATTTGAAGCATACACGTTACCATATCCTAGTTGAATCAGGTATTTATAAAAAAAACAAAAAACATTTCGTACTAATGTAGCACCGATAATTAGTTCTAAAATAGTACGTTTTTATTTGAAAGTACCGTTATTTAATATATGATTTCAGGTATTTAAAATACGTTATTCTTATATTTTTTTCTGTTTTTCAACCGATATTTTAATACACCTTGAAATTTCAAATACTAAAGATTCTCTTCAGTTTTGTCACTTTGGAATTCGACGTTTTTCTTGTCTAGCATTCAAGTCACTGACTTACACACACCTTTGAAGTCAGCAGTAATGGATGAAATAAATTTGGGTTCCGGGTCTTGTAATTTGATTCAAACATTTAATTGAAAAATACTTGCTGTCAAAGAAACGAAAAAAAAAAACTTTAAATTATTTCCTGTCTTTGACATCAAATCACTCACAACAATATCTTACCATTTAATTCTCCTACCAAAATCACGGTAATTCTTCCAACGAATACAAAAAAAAAAAAAATCTCCAACAAGTAATCGTCCACATATTTTTCCCTCAGTTTGCCAATAGCTTAGATAACTTCATCGAACACTTTAACAATAAATCATCAGTTCTCCAGCTGTGCCAACTTTCTAAGTTTATTCATTTTCGCCTCGCTAACAACATACTCGAGCATATTGATAATTGTGCAAAGGTATTTTATGTAATCCAATATACGTTGCGTCATTAAATTAACTTTTCACCAGTAGGTACATCGTTTGCATTTTTGTCTCACCCAGAAAAAAAAATACAACCTCTCATATAAATACTCTCTTTACCCTACAGTTTGCCACATTGCCATATATAGTCAGTTGGGTATACGTATACACGGGTAACAATAGGAGGGAGCAAATTAAATGATTGAAAACATGGAAAATCTTCCGTTTCAAACGAGTTAATAACAAGCTCAGCTCTTAATTATCGTTTCTCGTACGGTTTTCCAAACAGGCATAAATTATCCGTATGCTGATGCAACGAAGAAAAAGACAATGGTATACCTTTCACGAGGACAGAAATCACGCTCCGTGATAATGCATTTTCGCAATTATTAGTCGTTGTGTGGCTGCCATTTCGTGCCAATCATTTTCCATGGATGTGACGTCGGTGGACCCGACACTGCTCGCCTACGTCCTTTTTATTGTTTGCGTGGGTTTTTTTTTTTTTTTTTTTTTTTTTTCAACACTTTCGTCACAAAGCACTAAAAGTTTTTATTGATACCACTGGGTAAGATAATTTTTCTGATTTTCCAAAAGCGTACGTACTTCTACTCGCCAAAGTTATAAAATAAAATTCAAATGAGTTACAAATGTTTCTTAACAGTCCAAAAAACGGTAAAAGCTCTCGAATTTTAATGTTCAGGAGCAATTCCCATGTTGAACAGGTCAGTAATAAAATAAAATATTTTACTCCCGACGTTCAACGGTTCACATGTCGCAAACAGCCGAGGCTTTTCCTTCAATGAATTCCAAAGTAAATAATAATGCTTTTCAAAAAACACTCCCGTATACCCTAGGGCGTATGTAATATTGTCACGTGAGGTATACGCGTGTCCTCATTTTGCAACAATCCAGGCCATCCGACCGAAAAATTTCGACAACCTTGAGAGATGGAAAAAAAAAAAAGGATAACCCAAACAAGAAGGATCAGTCCGAAAAGTTGCAAAATTCGGTCTCGTCTGCTTCACCGGTGTTAAGAAACGCTGACCAGGTTAATGTCACGAATGAAATCGAGGAAGGCCGAAGCGTTGAATCCCATGCGCGCTTGTCCCCATCGTCGCATCAGCGCCACACACGTGTACGTATAACGTGTGTGTACACGCGCACACGCAGGTACTTTCGCTGATTATGTAAAAGACCATCAGGGATATCGGATGGTGTCCGCTGGCTTATAAAGCTCCCGCTGGCCCCTGGCCTCCGTAGAGTCTCTCGCGAGCTTTCCTACCGCGAACAGATACACCCTTTCTTTCTTCCCTCCTCCTCCTCCTCCAACTTCTTCGGGAGACACCTGTACACGCCCATTACTCCCTTTATTGCGAGCGAGAAAAAAAAAACCCCGAGTCCATACACCGGCTCTACATTTTGCTGTGCCGTTGCTACAGCCGATGGCGTGTTTATAATCGTTGTGTTGTTGCTGTTGTATATCTTTCTTTCTTTCTTTTTTTTTCTTTTTTCTTTTTTTTTTTTTAATCGGTGCGTGGTGAAGTATATAAGCGGCGAGTAGAGGCCGTACAGTGAGAAATTTCGTGGCTGTAGGAAGAAGGTGGTCACTGAGAGCTGTCACTGTATTACCTGGGCGAAAGGAGAGCCTGTAACTTTTCGCACTTTCTCGTCGCTCACTCGTGAAGCTAAGGAGCCATGCGTTTTCTGGTGAGTGTTTGATGAGATACGACTTTGCACCTTTAATATAATATACGCATATATATGTATGGAAGTGATGGGTGTGAGTGAATCTGGGTGAGAGAGGGTAGTACGCGAATGGATGCTGCATTGTGCACGAAAAGTTTGTCACAGGAACATAGGATGCGGGGTGATGGGGAGCTTTGATGGGTGACATTGAAAAATAATGGATGAATCGAGGGATGTTTTTTCTAAATTTTCCGTTTTACAAGTGATTTCCAAGCTATTGGCTGATTCAGTTTTATTTTAATTTCAATGATCAACAAGTTTATGCCGGGTGTTTAAATCATTTTGACTCAAGCAATTGATTTTTTTTAAAACCACCCATAACAAGTTAACAATAAAATCCTGAGATTGTTTGAATTAAATAATACAAGGGTTTACGTTACTATGTTAACCACAAATGAATAAGAATAATCACGGAGGAATTTGAAGTTAAGGTGTAAAAAAGTGCAATTCAGTAGTTTATGACCGAATTAGGTCAGACGCGCTGGGTCATTCGTAAAAGTGTCTGTTCAATTCTCATGAACAAGCCAACAAAGGTATTTGCATTCGATTCCACTATTTTATCGTTGACGTAGTTTGAACATTCACTTGTTAAGGATCAACAAATATTAACACTTCTCACACACGCGATAAAGACTCATCTCCCGAAAACAAAATATGAATACGCGATGTATGATTTACCCGGTTCTATACCTCGGCATCTAATTATTGCGTAACAGCCTGTCATCGTCGACGTTGTATAGACGGAAAAAAAGTCCCACTCGCTCCTAACGCCCGATTTTTGCTCAGGCACGCGCGTGACCTATCGAGGAGAGGAGGGTTAATGTACGGGCGTGACATGTCGTTCGTATCATAAGCTCGTGTGTACCATGTACGCGCGGGAGGTCGATGGCACACGCGCCTCGTGTTGCAACAGCGCGTACTTATAACTTGCCAGAGGCGCAGCAGCCACACGAGTGTGTGCATGGCAACGGAGACGTTTTTTCCCTGTTTCAATGCAGGGATAGGTCGGTTGCTCAACTTTTCATCCCATTTTTATCCCATCCAAGCGTTTCTTATTGAATTTGAGGAAATCGGCGATTCTCCCTTTCTCCCACTGGCATTATTCCCGATCGGTGGTGCACGCGTTTTTAAATGCACCTACTGATCCTCTGGATTCCTCGACTCATCGTGGAATAATACTCGATTAAAAACGGTGGGCGCACCTTTTGTGATTCTCCGTCCATCTTCGCGTAAAGTTTTTTCTTTCTCCCGCACTCCAATCGACACTTACGCTTTCAGGTGCTGTTCGCTTTGCTGGCCTTGACCTACGGCCAGCAGGACTTGTACTTCCGGCAACCCGAGAAACTCCTCAGGAATACGAACAACGTGGGCGACCGGCTGGGCGAGTACGCGTTTGCGTACGAGACGGAAGGGGGTATCCTCCAGAGTGAGATGGGCAGCCGAAAGTACGAGGGCACAGACTCCGAGACCCAACTCATACAGGGTAGCGTGCAGTACAACGACCCGAACGGCGAGCCTGTCGTCTTTAGCTACACGGCCGACGAGTACGGCACCAGAGTCGTAGGGAGTCACGTGCCGACTCCTCCCCCGATACCGGAAAGCGTGGGTGTTTTTTTTTTCTTTTTTTTTTTTTTTTCTCGCTTCCGGTACAAGTTTCGCTGTCAATAGCGTGGGTTGCGACGCCGATCTACCGACTCTAATATGCAGCCGAGCTTTCATTTTTTTGATTTTACAAACAGTTTTGTAGGCGCAGGTGGTGATTAAAATGACATTGGTAATACAAAAAAAAAAAAAAAAGGAAAAAAAAACAAAAATAAATAAATTGTTACCCGGTGCGTACACAGTATATAATCCGATATCATGTTTACTACAAGTACANTTTTTTTTTTTTTTTTTTTTTTTTTTTTTTTTTTTTTTTTTTTTTTTTTTTTTTGTTCATTTAGTTGTATGCGTGTGTCTTGAGTATAAGAGAAAAAAGATTTTGAATTTGTCACATGTATTCTCGTGTGTCTCGTTTTTTTTCTACTAATCTTTGATCCACTTTGTGCTCGTGGATCTTCATCGCTCATTCATTTGTATAATTATAAGAATATCTAATTTTATGCATAGTTCAATAAAGTAAATTTTGTAAGAGAATTATATATTGATTGTCCTTGAGCGCGTCTTTTTTTTGTTTGTTTGTTTTTTTGGAGTAATCATACCGTGGACGAATAATAAATAGCAGATCTAAACTTTTCCAATTGCAAGTGTTTATGGAGCAAAGTGTTTGCGTTATTTATTTTTTGTTCGATTATACAAGTATGATTTAACTTAATGCTTAAAATATCGATCATTTTACGTCGATCAATAATTATTTTGTTACAGTTTTTTGAATAACCGTCAAAATTATCGATCGATCATGATTACCATAAAAACTGCGATGGGTAGAATTATGGCACGAAAAACTTTCTGGATATAATACCAGATGTCGTGAGTAGTTTGTCCAAATTTGCGTTAAAGATCCAACAACTAATGAAGTAAGAAACATCAAAGATCATTTCATGAAAATTCCATCATTGTAATTAAACGATTCTGTACAATAAATTGCGTATAGGAGTAATGAATTAATCATATGACTTGCGTAAAAAAATTATAAAGTCTCCGATCATTCCATTACAATAAAAAATTGAATAATTCCGATGGGTGTTTTGAAACATTGCAACTAAATTGTTGTATTGTACACACATGCATGTACGGTTAGAAGAAAATCGTGAAACAATTTAAAAACAATTTAGCAGAGCGCGATTCATTGTATTCATTTTGCCTTTCACGTTGGCTGCTGCAACCCAAGCTCGTACCCGTGGCTTCTATGATTTACTCGTGAAATTAACTTTTAAATCAATTCGTAAGTATGAAAAACCATTTACCCCATGGCAATGTATACTCCAAACAAGTACCAAAGTACCTGTCGTACTTTTAAATCGATTGCAAAACGAGACCCATAGGCTTTAACGTTAAAGTTTGATTTACACCGAAGCTTAAATAAATTTTGATTCACAAAGTATGTAAATTTCCAACACAATGGATTCCCCACATACAGCGCCTGCTTTTAATATCGCAGAATAAAATCGGTCATTACGATCCCGGATTGCATTGACACAATGATAAAGACGCGACGTCCATTGCGACATTGGGTGACTTTTACTTTCGCCAAAGATCACAACGAAGCATCTGTTTTACCCAGGCGCGCGCGTGTCAATGCAAAAACGATTAAACAAAATCATCAATATCCATGACAACGGAGTCAACTCGAGTTAAACGAAGGCTTTCGACCATTCATCATTGCACTGGAAGATTATTACAGCAGAGCGTGTGGGACTTGGGGAAAAAAAAAAAAAAAACAATTACATTACATAAGCCCCTGTCGATATGTCAATACAGGCTGCGCGCACACACAAATATAGCATCGACGTAAAAATAAGAGAGAAAAATGAGAGAAGCCAAGGAGCACGGGACACACGAGTTGGAAAGCAAAGAGAGAGAAGAGGAGCGCGATTTGAAAGCTAGCATTGTGTATACCTCTCTGTGTGTGTGTGTGTGTGTGTGTGTGTGTGTGTGTGTGTGTGTGTGTGTGTGTGTGTGTGTGTGTGTGCATGTCACGGATTTCACGGAGGTGAACGAAAGTGTCTTCGTTACCTCCATTCTCTTTCCTTTCCCGTGCCCGATATATATGTTTATCTCTGTAACGCCTGTGGAGAGCGCGTGTAGGTACCATCCCATCTCATTCAAGGAACGGAGCTGTAATAGCCGCCTCAAGGTAAGGCTGCTGTTGCCGACGAGGAATCCGTCCTACACGTTTTTTCTCTGTCTTTTTTTTTTTCCTTTTTTTTTTTTAACCACGCGTATCTTATTTGCCATTGAGATTTTTTTTTCTGTCTTACGTGAAAAGCAAATACGTGTTTATTTTTTCACTATACAGACGGTATACAGTTGAAATCCAAAAAAAGAAGAGCTAGAATAAAGCCCACTCCAAGACGTATGTCGTTCTATGTTTCACGATTTTAATTTTTTTTTTTTTTTCAGCTAATAAACTCTTAGGTTTCCAAGAGTCCTTCGATCACTCGCCCTCGGGAACATACATGGATAATCCAGGGGATGCACGGGAGTTTGGAAGAAATCGCCAAGAGCCGTTGTACTTCTGGATATCGAAAAATCTTTATTATCGTTACATCGTCATAATCATAAACTAGACTTGGTTGGTCATTCAAAAAACGGATCATGACAAATGTTAGTAAACACACGTAAACAAAACGTAGAAAAACGCCTCCGGAGCTCTAATATAGAGCCGTGGTCTCGGTGGGGCTGGTCTCGAGCGTATCAGTGGTGGAGCTCGTCAGCCGGGGCTTGCTTGGCGATCCAGTCGAGCGCCCTCTGGATTTCCTTGGGGATGGCCGGGCCGACGGGGATTGCGTCACTCTCGGGGTGGAAGCCGTTCTCGTCGGCGGTGTAGCTCACCTTGATGGGGGTGCCGTCCGGGGCGATGTAGCTGTAGCTGCCCTTTACCTGCATGGCCTCGTGCTCGCCCCCCAGGTCCTTCACGTGGCCCTGCTCCTCGACCTTGATACCATTGCCGGTCTCGAAGCTGTACGAGTACGAGCCGTCGGGGCTTGCCTCGGAAGTTTGGTGCAGAATCGGCACGACTTCGTGGTGCACGGGCTCGACCGGGCCACTGTTGGCGAAGCTGAACGCTGCCACGAGGACGAGGATTGCCTGCAAATTTTTTCGAACGAATGAGCCTTTGTAGGGGACTTTGATCATTGGATAAATTTGTCACTGGTTAAAGCTTTTTATGAGTTGGCGAAAATGGCACTTTGGGAGAATGTCATGGGTGATTTATTTCGAGGATCGAGTGGACTATTAATTATTGTAAGCGACGGCCTCGGGTGTCATCTCGATTACACGCAGCTCTGGATGATTAAATTCAGGGTTCGTCGCGCATTATTTTCAACGATGCCGTCAGCGCGATTTTTATTCTGCCGTTGAAGCTGAACGTTCGCGAAAACGGAACCTCTTGTGTTTGTGTACTTCCGCGAGGTGTACAAACAAATTATATCGCTCGTTGCTCGAGTGCCAACACCAACGTGCACGCGATCGACGGTAGCACGTGTAAATGAAAGTTATTGACGACTACTGGTGATCATTTGAATCATAGAAAATAGACATTAAAGGCTTCAGTGAAATTGAAACGACATTAACTCTGGCTGTAGAGATGTGTTTTAATAGTGAAAAAAAAAACATCGCATCGATTAGCATATGCTTTCATCCTTCCACAGCCCGAGCGCTGAAAGGGTAAAACACACGACCGCGTCAGCCTTCTAAAGCCGTTAAAAATCAAATACCCTCGAGGCCTTTGATAGAAAAAAAAGAAAAAAAAATATGTTTGAGGACGCTCATCTATACGGCAAACAATGACCGATTTTTCGTAGAAGAAAAAAAAATTTACTATCTAAAAAAGGCAATATTAGGTAATATAGGCAGGCTTTTTCTTTCCATTACCCGAAAATCTTAAACTCACCAATTGGTTCATACTGAGATATTGCTCCTGTTGCTCGCTGATGAATCGACTTCGGAACTTGCTGTCTGACTGATGCTTGCCAACTCTGGGCTCTTCCGCTTTATATATACAAACTTTCGGAGGGTAACCGCGGCCGCGTTTTGTTTAATCACCGTACTCGCGCTCTTTTTTTTTTTTTTTTTTCTCCCGAGCAGATTTGGTGCAGAGATAATGAAAAAAGCGCGGATGAGCGCGGGTAAACAAACCCGCTCAGCCCCCCTCTCGTTTACATATCGGCTGGCGTGGAACATGTACAGTACGGAGAAGAGCCGAAAATTTTGACGATTTCGCGTTTGTTTTTTCAAGAGAGACAGAAAGACATTGTCTCGCCGGAATGATAACGTTTCTTAATGAAGGATTATGTAGCGATTACGTTCATGTTTTTGTTTGACGAGAACTTTTTTCTTTATTGTTGTAAGGTAATCGAGAACTGCGTTTTGTTGAAAGCTTCGTTTTGCTAGTAGATCAAGGCGTCATTGGTCAGACGAGATAACCACGAGGGGCCATTTACGCTCTTGAAGTTAGCGAATAAGACTATTATTAATGTTATTTCAATGACTTCGAATTACATCTGAATAACAAAGTTTCGCTGACTTTTTATGACTTCAAACGACTTTGTCGTTCCTCAAGTTATTGGAGAAGAAGAACAAGACTCAAAGTCGTTTCAAGACTTCGTGTACGGCTTGTAGAGGAATGACTTTTCTATAACTTTGAATGGGTATCTAGGTTCATCAAATTGCACATAATGTACTATGAGCTGATTTTTTGTGAGGAATAATGCGCACTCAGACAGTGCTAATATGTTTACAATGTCGAAATTAAATACTTCACGATTTCAATGACTCTAAAGCTGTTTTCGTTTCCAAACAATATTTCTGATGAAAAATATGATTTCTTTTGTTATAAAGATTGAGAAAAAATTTGTCAATGAATATAGAAAAATAACCACCGATCCGTTGGAGCGATGGTTTTGTAATAGCAAATCGTAGGACGAGGTGTTCATAAAAGGTTGGATTACAAAAAAATTCCTAATTGCGGATCGATTATTGTTACATGATGGAGAAGTGTCGAGCCCATTTCACCAGTTGAAACAAAGTAGGTTGTAAGCTCTTGCATCATTTTCACAGATAAAAGGCTACTCTCTAATATGGATTTCTAAAAATTAGGCCCGTTCCTCGGACACTGTTTGATAAATAGAAGATTTCAAATGGTTCAACTTTTTTTTTTTTTTTCCAAGAAACCATTTCTAATTGGTTCGGAATACACTTTCTTTTTTCAGCGTCGTATCAAGAGTTTACCGAACCATTTAGACATTACGGAACGTTTGTGGAAAATTTAAATTTTGTGGTGCACTCAAAATACTTTGAGCGTTTAGAACCATGACCCAAATCGTCTTTTTTTATCTCAAGACGGTAAAAATTATGTCAGTCAGATAAATTTGATTACGCAAAATTTATCACATTAACTAGTCATGAAGTTTATTTGCCCAACGAATCTTCAAGCGCTAGAATCATCCAACTCACCACCTGTAAATTACGAATAAAATAATTTTATAATTGGAAGCGCTCGAAAGTGCTGGCGTATACACGAACATCATATATTTATACGTGCTTGAGTAATGGATAATTTTATTCGTTTACTTTTGTTCTTCACACAAATGCATAGTAAATACCATTTGATCCAGGATAAGTCGGCTCGCCTACTTTTTGTTTTAACACCTTTGAATCGTGGCTCGTAGATTAGAAGACTCATTCCATAGGTAAAGGTATTATTGGTTTTATCAGATATCAATTGTATTTTTAGTAAAATTAAAAGTTTTAAATTCAAATGCTTATCGAATTTGATGATCACGTTGCTATTTTGATTTGAACAAGAATATTTCAATTTAATAAATTTAAAAATAATTTGCCAAAGAAAAGTATTGCTAATGTAAATAAACTACATACATCTGCTTTTAATATTTAAGTTCTTAAAGAGTGAGGATGAATGTATTTTATTAGCCTTTGGTTGACCGTGACCTGTTGCTCAGTGATTCGAGATGTGTTTGATCTACAACCTACCTGAACAATTTAATTGCTATGACCTTTGTTCATATATACATATTGGTAAAAATTAGACTTTATCAACTTATTCCCCCCCCCCCGTGTCTATCACTGTAGGATGGATCGTAGAGTTGGAGGCTTAGTATACATAAATAAGGATCGTAAATGTATGATGATAATAAGTTATAGTAAACACACAGAATTCCTCAGCTGTTATAGCGGGGACTTTTTTTATCTTTACTTAAATGAAGTAACAAATAGTAATTCTCCGATTCATAGGTTAAAAAAAACCTTGTGAAATCAATCATTAAAATTGTTCTAAATTTTAATAGTACTCTTCAAAGACCGTTTTTTAGGTAAAACTTAAGGAAATGAAGTAACCTGTATTCTCGACTATTACAATATACAGTGGAGAGGAGGACAAGATGAGATATTTGAACGTTAGTAATTCAATTAATTTGCCAATGTAGTATTTTTATTGTCATCTTTTGAAATCAGTGTTTAATGGTTAAATCTTTAAAGGAACAGTATTTATTGCTAAAAAATATGAGAAAGAAGTTAAAAAAAAAAAAACCTCAACCCTATCTTGATAAAATCAAAGCGATCGAGCATCTCTCTGGTAATAGAACCAACATTTCACACAATGCTGAAACTCTTAGGCACTCATTGGTTACAAAAATAAAATATTTCCTGCGGGTCACTAACCCCCCCTGAGAATTTGAAAAAAGCCATCAACTTCCGAAAATTGCCATCAATTTTTAAAGAAACTCCAGGCTGCGTGATTTCAACGTCCTACAAGTCCCAAAAATAAGACTCCTCCCCCCGATAAATTAAAAAGCCTCGAATCGCCAATAAAAACGAATATAAAACATCCGAAATCATTATCCCATCTGTTCCTAGTGCGGTGACAATTTTTAACGCGCGCTATGGAGTTTGGGATTTTTTTTTTTGACCAGTGTAAGTGTGTACACGGGCAGAGGAAGGACGAGCACCAGAGCCACGACTAAAACGAGGGAGTTGGCGTTGACACCACCACTACTTGAACAATAACGTGATATGTATACGTGTATAACTGGGAGACACTGTTTGTCCGAGCGAGGGTCCTTCGTTCTGTGCTTATATAAAAGCCACATCTTCGCTTTGGGACCGCATATTAGCAGGACTCACGTGCCCGGCTCGGACGTACAGGACAATAAACATGGTAAGTCGACGCTACTCGTACAGTATACTTGTGTTTTTTGATCTCGTTTTTTTTTTTTTTTTTTTTTTACTGTTTTATTTTATTTTATTATTATTACTTATTTTTTGTCTCCTCAAAGTTAAGGGTTATCAGAGAAACAAGAGACTGTAAAAAGTGTGCACTGACGGAACAATTACTCGTGTGGTGCGTGTGCTTGAACAGAGAAACGAAAAAAAATTCCGTGGTATCTATTTTCGATTTTCCTAATAATTACTCATTGCCTAGTAATCATTCAGTAACTAGCGAATTTTTTCACGTAAAATACACATTTTTAATATTTTACGTAACTTTTAAAAGTTTCAATTCATCAATACAGCAAAATAAACATTCTAGTAAATACAATGAGCTGCTGCTCGTACTTCTAATCAAACAGCGAATGATAATTACTACTTATAAACGGTCAGGACGGTAATTAAATAAAATCTAAAACTGTTGCATCAGACAAAAAAAAACGGAAAGATAAAATTTAATTAATAATCCGTGACACAGACGGACATTAGCCGTGGTGGGGCGATTCACCTTCATCTCTTGCAAAATCTATCTTCATGTCTGCTAGTAATCGATTTGATGCTGTTTTTTTTAGCATTTCTGTCTATACCTGTAACAGTAAAAAAAAAAAAAAAAGAAAAAGAAAAAGAAAAAACATACCCACGAAATCTGACATAATAAAAAAAATAATCATACCCTCGCCGTATGCTTGACGATAAGCCCAGAAACTTTCGTTGCTCGTTACTAGTAATTACGATCATTATACTCGGGCCAATTCATATAACCCCGGGCTAAATTACATCGGATTTTTCATACGCAGGTCTGCACCATTGCGCAACGACTTTTACATCGAGCGATTAATTTGGTCAAACGATTCGCGATTTCTTACGTTTCGTGGCTCGTGCGTGTTGACGAAATTTCATTAGCAAAGGTAAACGAATTTGCCGAAAGTAATAGCTGAACTTTTGTGTACAGCGGTAATTGCCATGATTTTAAAAATAAAAAGATTTATGGCCCATAACGTAAAAATTACAAACCTTGCGTAGTGAAATCACGATACTGCTTGTACAAACACAAAATGGTGTCATTGTACGGAAAAAAAAAAAAAAAAAAAAAAAACAAATTGGTACTGATAAAACTCTCTGCGTGCAAAGACATACATAAATCTAGTCGTTAATCGTAGCGGTGACGAAAATACGAAAAAAATCGTTCTTTCCAGAAAGTCGCCTTCGCCTTCCTAGCCCTCGTGGCTTTTGCCTCGGCCGTCGAGCCCAAGAACGAGCCCATCCCGATCCTGAGAAGCAGCGAGGACCCCCCGAGCCCCGACGGCTCGTACTCGTACAGCTTCGAGACCGGCAACGGCATCAAGGCCGAGGAGAAGGGCCACGTGAAGGACCTGGGGGGCGAGCACGAGGCCATGCAGGTAAAGGGCAGCTACAGCTACCAGGCGGAGGATGGCTCGCCCATCTCGGTCTCCTACACCGCCGACGAGAACGGCTTCCAGCCCAAGGGTGACCACATACCCCAGCCGCCCCAGTCGGTTCTGAGGATGCTCGAGTGGCTGGCTCTCCACCCCGAGGAGGAGGACCCGGAGTTCCTCAAGGCGAGCGCCAAATTTTAAAATCGCGCCGCGACTTTCGCCCTTGTGTGTTGCATTGTTTCCCTCGTGGGGTGTGATTGAAGGGACTGGGTGTGCGGTTGACGGGAATTTTGTTTCGTTTTCCGTTGGAATTTCTCGTTGACTGGCCAGTGTGTGGTGTATGTTTGACGTGAATCTGTGTGATGGAGCCACGGCACGATTTGGGCAAGATTTTTTTTTTTTTTTTTTAACTATTTCTACTTGACGACATTTTTTTTATACAGCGAACGGTAGTGCGATGTATTTTTAGAGCTGTTTGGACAATGGTTTCATTTTTGGCTGGAAATGAATTTTTTTTATCCAACATTGCGTCATAAAAAGTAATGGAAAAAAATTGAAAAAGTATCCATGACCAAGTCTGCCAAGCTGTACGAGTGTAAAAAAGGCCCTGTATATATGATTAGATAAGATCTGCTGTTTTTTTTTTCTTTAATATGTAGCACTGTACGACTTTGTTTAATAAAATTCGCTATATTTTGTACAAAAATTTTGTCTCTATTCCCGAGTAAAAAGAAACCAGAAATAAAAAATCACGACTTAGCTCTGCGCTATTTTTAGCAACCATAGCTGCAAGAGACTTGTGTATTTTTGAAATTCAACAAATCCGAGACACGGAGTTGGCAAATGATTTATGAAAACGTGAAAAATCAATTTGTGAAGGGATTCGGGATAAATTTTTACACCATAAGAGTGCGGAGTAAACGTCCACGTTCGGCCAGGAAAAATCCGTTGCAACCTCGGTGTCGTGGATACACGTTTGCATACGAAGATGCGTTATTACAACGTTACGTAACGACTTTGACACCTCGTCGTGTGACTTAATAAATCGTCGAATTTAGCCATCAGCGTGACCATCGGACGTTTTATTATTCAATAAAGAGAAAAATAAAAAAAATAAAAATATGCTTGTTTTGTCGGTTTGAGTGCATTTGCGTGTTTTGCACCGTCAATCCTGTTTTTCATTGCTGCATCGGAGAATCATGCGTGTAATTCAGTTAATTATCTTTTGACAATTTTCAAGCTATTCCGCGTGATTTCATGCACAATCTCTTACGTAAGGAACGTCGTGAATTTGACATGAAAATGTGTAGAAGGCTTCATTCAACCGGAACAATTTGTTTGTCGAAGAGATTTGTGCAACAAATTTGTAGGGATTACGAAGTTTTTTTTTTTTATTGCTTTCAAGTAAAACTTTCTTCCGAAATTTTTAAAAACTTGAAAACAGCGTTGATTATTTGATTTTTTTTATCCCTCATGTCTCTTTTGGTATTACGAAATCTTATAAACACGTGTTTTTAACGATATACAGCGATAATTTTCAACGGTACAACTTTTGTTCTTCTGCAAAACGGGTGTTGATGAATTTTAATTGATCGTTTCTTCCTGTACTTTTCATTCGTGAAATCTCATTCAGTTCGTATTTTGAAAAAAAAAAAAAAAAAAAAAAAACACATTATCGATTCATAAAATTCATAGATTTTTTTTTGTAGGTACATCTAAATAATTTAAGACAACGAAAACTCAACTCGTATAATACAAAAATCATGTCCAAAAGATAGGTAGGATTCGACCTTCGTGAATACATTACACGCGCCAACATAATCCGTTTCGTCGTAGTCAAACAGTATTACACCGTGATTTATTTTATTTTCTTTCAAGCCCAACGATATCGTCGAATGAAACATCACTTTACTTGAAAACGAGTTCATTAATTCACGTGTAATTGAATTAATTTTACGACCTTATTTTTGAAGAAGAAAAAAAAAAATAAAAAAAAATAAATAGAAGATCGAAACAGTAATCGCTCAACGAAACTGTAATCTCATTATCTGAACAAACAACTCATATGCAAACATTTAATTTGCGCTGTAACTTTTTAAATAAACAATAGTTAAGATAAGACACGAGATTTGCATAATTAATTAATCATCTAAAAAAAATTCGTCTTTTTTTTTCTCCTTCCGTGTGTACTCTAATGTTGACGTATCAATGAGGATCTCTCGCAAGATTGACTACTTAATTATTGGTCATTACGACTGTCCTAGACAAAGCGTGAATACTTCCTATAGGAAAGAAAAACGCCAAGGTACGCGTGCAAGAGCCAGGAAAATGATTAGCATCATAATTAATTGTACAATTACATGCAATGGATTTTCAGTAAATAAATAACATTTGAAAATACAAATAAATTTTTATTAAAAAACCATATTTTTCGTATGTAAAACGGGAAATGATAGTTCCAAGTGAGTGCCACGCCTGCGCGCCCACTAAACATCAGCTTTGGGTGTCAAACGGGCTGCCCTCCGTTCAGGCGCTGTACATCAGCAAAACACTAGGAGAAGGTCTGAAGGACGGTCTGGAGGACTGAGAGGAGAAGAGTTAAAACTGACAGTAACAGCTAGCCGTTGACTCTTGTTCTCATAGTAATATTATCAATTTCACCTAATTTTGGCACTTTTTTTGAGTATCAAAATTTTTGTTGTTGGTACATTTTTTTCTCGATTGTCTCATTAAGTACTACAGTACAGAGGTACAGTATAAATTCTTACTAAGTTGGTTGAATTCGTATTGTTTACGATTACATTTTTCAGTCAGAATAGAAAAATGCTATTTGGGTGGATTTGGATATCATTTTGCCACATTATATTTTTTGTTATTATAAAAAGTACAAATGAAAAATAGGATGTTTACTAAAAAATAAATATAATTCATTCGGAAATAAAAATATGGAAATAAATTGCCGTGGATATTGTGGATAGAATATGGTGTAGCTTCATTGTACATCATAAAAAAGTTATCACTTTAGTAGATGTTAAAAAAGAATTAGAGGATCATTCTACCTTCTCCTAGGTAATTTAAAAAAAAAAACTTCTTTTTTTTTTTTTTTATCAAGATGCAGCACGTAATCCAACACAAAAAAATACACCTCAATCCAGACACCTCAAACTCGAGCGATTAAGAATATTGTGCAAAAGTATGTGTGGCAATCCCGCGCTTTCTCAAAATCCATATGTCCTCCCAATAGCCACCGACACATCTCCCCATTCACCGTAAATCTGCCTCGGCCACAACTTTCATGTAATAATAATCTCACTTTGCGTAAAACGCATCGCGAAGCGAAAATTACTCTCCGCACCTTCATTAATCACAATCATTCGACTCGTCGTCTTGGTCTACAAAACAAAGTTACAGCACGTGTATATAATTATATGTATACACGCATGTGCGCAATCAAGCGATTTCGCGGGCGATCGTAGGGTAAGGTCGACGAGGGGAGACGCGTTTACGCAAATTATGGCGCGCGATGAGCTAGCGGTAATTCATACCGTGAAAGGGCATTACAGAGAAACGGTAAGGTTCTAAAGTTTTTATTACTATTTTAGACGTCACAGTTGCTTTGGCTGACGCAACGATTCTTGGCCGATTAATTTTCACGCAATCGATCCATAGCTCATCGATACACGGAAGTCAATTATTTTTATCGCTGAAAGTACGTTTGCAGGACTAAAATCCGCTCGGCAATGCATCGATTTTTATTTTGACAACACAAATCTTATTGTTTATCCGTTATTGCCGTGTAAAAAATAAAAATTAAAAAACAAAGACATGCCGGGAATTCTAGCTCTCCAAGTAACTCATTAAATTACGCATCCCAAAAGCAACATTCGCCCATGAAAATGTACGCGTAAGATATACGCAATAATTTAAATTAAACATATGTACATTTGAATATTCAGTAATTCGATGGCACCGCGGTTTATCCACCAGCCGAGCAATCAACACCTGTAACTTGGCCCCTTCATTCCAAATGATTGCCAACTCGCGCAGCTGCCTGATGAATAATAATCAAAATTTTAAAAATAGAAACTATCGCGAAAATTTTGGAACATCATTCGTACGTGTGGGATACCTCGGGCGTCAATCATCCGAGCGCGTAAAATCTCCGTCCAGACGGCCTCGCGGAGCCAAGGCGGCAAAGATCAAAGCGCAACCACGAGAGTCCCTCCGAGAGAGGCTGAAGATATGTATATGTTTTTACGGCGGCGCGAATAATGGGCCAAGCGAGTCGCAGCCTCTGTTCATTGATTTTCTTTGATCGGGGTGACCCGATGTCTTCATTGTACACCTTGGAAGAGCATTTTTCCCGAAGCTACATTTGCGTCCCCATAAACTCGAGTCGTTCCGTAATTATTTCACGCACCTCCGAGAAAAATGCTAGGTGCAAAGTTCATTAAATCTCCCCAGCCCGATAGGTTTACAATTCCGGGAGGCAGAGCTGTTTCTACTCCTCCTCTGAGCTCCTGGCATCGATGGATGGTTGAAAAAAAAAAAATAAATAAAAATAAATAAATTGTACTTCATTTCTAGTCGTACACGCGTAGAAGCAGTTATTTAAAGACGATCGCAGAGCCCAGATCGGTACAGGTGAGGAATCCCATTTATAAAGCTCGAAAACCCTCTTCTCGGGAGGCACGGCTCGGGTGTACCATTTCTGTATGTATACATTTGCGTGTGCGGCAGGAGTACACAGTGGGTAGGTACACGGAGGCCCGTGCGATGTCTTGTTAACTGTCACGCGTTTATTCCCCCCTGGCCTCTCGTCTTGCATTATATCGTTGTTCTCATTCTTCTCTGGATTTTTCTTTTTCGAAAGGTTGTCGGGAGCTCCCCTGTGTCTGATACACCCAAACGCTTGCTTGTGAGGTTTGTAGCCGTTGGAAGTCGATGTAGACTTGGGCACGAGTACTGTTTTATTTTTATGAATTTTTTCAAGTACTGGTACTATTTTTTCAACGCGGCGTCGAACAAGATATTTTACCAGTAACGAGAAAAGCATTACAAAATTTTAAATAAATACATTTTTTATTTCAAATACTTTGCAAATAAGCTTTAATGTAACAAATGTATGCAGCAGTTATAAGTTGAAAAAAGTCGACCTGTGTACGTAATTTAAATTAAAAAAAAAGAAAAAAAAAATCCATGCACGTAAATTTTGAGTTTGCCGTTTGTTGGACGATTTATAGATTGTACGTATGTCAGTTGGAATCTAGAAGAAAAATACAAATTCATTAGTTTGTTTTCAAGTCTTTTACTGTGCTAACTTAACTTTGTTTGAAAGTAATGTGGGATTAATTCAAGAGGAAGAAAATTATTCGTTAATCACACAAATATGAAGTAATGTTTACAAAGTCGACGGATGATGTTTCAACTGTTTTTTTTTTTTTTTTTTTTTTTTTGTTAATCAACCAAAATCTGAAGTTCATATTGATTAAACACTAAAAACTTTTTACAATCTTTTGTTTAACTTTGTTTTCTGTTTGTTTTTCTGTCTGGGACACATTTGGGTAACCGTTTCCCCAGAACCTTCTAGTCGTCTGATCGAATACCTTTGGTTCTACACATCAATATAGTATCATCGTAAAAAAAAAAAATGGCAAACCACTTTTATAATGTACAACCACGACCCTCGTGAAATTAATATCAAATAGGTAACATAAAACAAGTTGTCTGACATCATCTTAAATAATTAAATATGATGACCAACACGAAACGACGATACATCTATCAGTGATATTGGTATTTCATCTGAGTTGACTATGCAAACGTATTAAAATATAAAATAGAGAAACAAGTCTTTGTTGACAAAACTAAACTGGCCATTCAAATTAACAAAAATGTTTTTCCATTCTCGAACGCCACGCTAATTATCGCTTCTATCTCGAAAAAGAAACATCCTGGAATTTGCAAAGAACGAAATGTTGGTTCGCTATTGCTGCAATGATCGACCGAACCTTTCCTCCTCACCCGCGTATTTTTGCACCACAAGAAGACATTGTGTGCACAATCGAGGGTACATACACACACTCGGTTGTTATTGTTTCTCCCGCTGGTACAATAACAGAGCCTTCATATGGCTAATGCACGTGTAAAGTACCTTATTTTTTTTTTCCTCTCCTTTTCTCCATTTCACTCGGTTCGCCTTCAAGTGGGTCGCTATTGTACGGAGGACTCGAGCACTGATCCCAATTTTTATGATGCTCGAGTGAATTATCGCCCCATTATACGTCTCATTGTTGCGAAGACTCACCGTCAATCGTAAATAATTGAGTCGAGCCGAAAAATTAAACTACTACAACGACGTGTCTCTCGAACCATCGACGTGAAAATCCTGTAGAGCATGAAAAAAAAAAAAAAAAAAAAAAAAAAAAATGCAGAAACTTATATGTACACACACAGTTGAATCGAATAGTTGGACCGTGTAAGCAAAAATAAAGGTCGGATCTTGTCTCGCGGTGCTGTTCCATCGAAAGCTTGGGTGATGTATACACTTTCTTCGCGCAAAATCCTTTCACGAACGAAAGTGGCCACGTACACCCAAGTTGCATGGGTTTCGATACAGATGTGCGAGAAGGAGAAATTCTTGCGTGTCAAGGTTACGGAAAAACATGCATCTTCCATCAGTGCTATTGGCTGTAAGTGCTCGTGTGCTCATACGTTACGAGATAATGGATATTGCTAGGCACACTGAGTGTACCTATGGTTTTAACATGTAATTGGGCTTTTGCGCGAAACCTCGGCTTCACCTTTGGAAACCTTACATTTTCTCTGTAACGCGAATAGAGGAAAAAAAAAACTTTTTGCTCAAAAAAAAAAAAAAAACAATTTTCTCATTCTCGATACATACGTTGAATTGAAACAAAAAGCAATCGTCATTAGGCGAATGAAGGATGGAAAGAAAAAAAAAATAGCACTAATTTACGAGTAACGAGCGCGGCTGATTTGCTTTGGGTTTTTTAATGGATATCTTACCTAAAACCGCGGCATTTCAATTACACCCGCACACATCGAGTGATGCACAAGCTGTTTGTTCGCTACGGGCAATGACAAGTGGAAAATCTTGAATATCCAATCACGTGAATCATCACATGGATGAGAAACATTGAGGCGTAATTTCAAGTTTACCTTTACCTTTTATCACTTGTATGTTTTCGCTAAGTTATAAAAAAATAAACGCTCGATTACTGTTGAAAAAAAAAAAAAAAAAAAAAAAGATCGTTTAAACCAAAAACGGGTGTCTACACCCATATCCCCAAGGATCCACAAGGCCGTACATCGTGAACAATCGCGAGCTGTAATGTATGCACTCACCCAGAAAGTGTTGCGCAAGCCGCGGAAAAAGATGCATCTGCACACAAGTGCTGCTCGTTTCAAGCATTGAGCAACACAGACACATTGGCTCTTAACAGCCACGAAATCTCGGTGTACGACTTCGGGATAGGCTTTTCTTGAGTAACGACCCAAGGAAAGATAGGAATGCCGATCGATAACTCACGCGCGCCCGCCGATTAATTAATTAGAGGACGACTGGCAGATGCGACTCCCTTTTTTCTTATAATAGTGGGTGTAGATTTTTTTTTTTTTTTTTTTTTTTTCTATCAATCCCCAGTTAGTTTTACAAAAGCCACTTTACACGTGTTTTGGATGCCATTGATACCTCGTACGGGTTATTGGCAGGCAGGTTGTTTTCGGATTGCGAAATCTTTCTATTCCCCCCGGTGAAAAGCAATTTCAGTAGGAACAATTTTGACGGCTCGTAAAATCGACGCTGGACGCTATCCCCTTGTAAATTGCTCTCGCCCAACTGCAGCAATCATACCGATTCGTAGAGTTGACGGATCGTCCAAATTTTTCGGGCTGTACTTGCTTGCGCACCAACGGCTTTGGTTTTGCAAGTCAGATCAAAATTGCTACTATATACCGCGCTCGGAGACGTAACCGATGCGTGTGTGTCTCTTTGATCGTTTAACAAATCCTTTTACCACCTCAAGCTATTTGAATGTTGTTTCTTCTTCCCCCCCCCCCCAACAGTTATGCAAAGGAAGGAAAAAAATACAATAAATCCCAGCTGATAGTTACGTCTGTTGAAAATGTAATCTCCTCTCGCCTATACTACCACCACCACCACCACTGGTGTCATGACACGAGCGACAGTAATCGATGTAAGCATACATTACATCCCTTTTTTTCCAAGCGCTTGTTTGAGCTTTGGATGCGCTTGGAAATCAGATATCGCGGAGATGTAAGCAAATACCGCGATCGTGGGGCTCTTTTGTGTTTGGTACGTGTTAACAAATACTTGCGCCTCTGACAGATGTATGCGAAGAAAATTTGACTCTGTGATTGTTTGCTTCGCGTTACTCTGGGAGATCAAAGTGAGATATCTTGGCTTTGACGAATGGATTTTTACACTGTCATTTTTTTCTCGTCTTTTCATGGGTACAGGGTTGGTGTTGCAGTCAACACTCTTAAGTGGCTCGTTTGTTTCGGCTGAGGGAGAAATTCCAAAAACGTCAGAGACAGCGGCTGAGACGATATTTACGAGCATTTACGTGTCATGAAAAAAGTAAAAGAATATTGGTATCCTGTGGAAAGGACTCGAGTGGGAAATCGTAACTAATTGCTCGATTGGTACACTTGACTGCAAATTACATCATTTCAAATGTAATCGCGATTGATATAATAGTGGGTATTTTGAATGCTAATACTCATCCATGCAGGATTAATTTCCATTCGGCTGTGTACGTCGTGTCGAGAGCAATCGAGTTCTAAGAACAAGCATTTACAAGAGGATGCGGGTGTTATTTAATTGACACGTAATTTGTGTACCTGTCATCGATTTTTTTTTTTTCTCGTATCAATCTGAAACGACATTATACCATCCATTCAAATAATCCACAGTTGCAGCTGGTGAGAAAAAAGCGAAATAAAAGTTACCTCCAAAAGCCCACTTCCACACCCGCAATGCTTACAAGAGCGACTAGATAACTCACTTAAAAGGACACACTCACATAGACACATAGTTGCACGTTACTTGGATCCAATGATACCGTAATCCGATGGTCATCGCGAGATAAAAGCCATGCGCCAACTAAAAGGTCGCTCGGGCTTCTCTCCTCCGCGGCTGGAAGGATTGAGCAATTTATGCAACTATGCAGTTTGTCCCATAAAAGCAACGCTCCGACTCTTTATCCTTACACACGAGACGCCTCTTCTTCTTTTTTTCTTCGATTCTTTGTCAGCTCTGCGAGTACCCGTACGTGCACGCAAACATACACATGCCGTGTGTGTGGATTAAAAAGTACGCGGCGCTTAGAGAAGCGAGTAGCTGATGCTGCTGATCTTTTCTCTCGCCCGCGAGTATGAAACACACATGCACACACACACGTGTGTGTCTTGTATATACATGTACCGTAGTAGAGTAACAACGAAACGAGTAGAGTACAGAGAGTACAGAGAGAGAGAGAGAGAGAGACGAGCCGTGGTTGCTTTGGGGGGGAGGGGAGTAGAGAAGCGACACATCGGCGTCGCTGGCTGGTCCAGCGCGGGTATATATAAGGAGGCTGCTGGGCTTCGATCCCGGGAAAAGACTCGCGTTGGGGCCCATTCGAGTGCGGCTTTGGGCTTTTCGTTTTGTTTTGTTTTTACGCACGCGGCTAAAGGATGTACGCGACACTGGTAAGCTTTAAGGATTCGACCCAAGATTTTATTTTTCCTTTTCTTTGTTTGTTTTTTTTTTTTTTTTCCTTCCCTCCACTCGTTTCAACTCTTTTTGGGACTTTTGGTGGATTTTAGTGCGATCGCGAGTGATTTTCAAGTGACTCATTACATGACAAGGATTTTTGCAGTTTTCAAGTGACTTACAGAGTAGCCGTGGTTGAGGTTGACGCTGTTGGGGGATAAAAATCTTTTGTTGGATTACATCAGTTTTCAACGATACCTTCCAATCTACTACCCAAATGATAATAACTCCAAATTAAAATAATAAACCAAAATTTCAATAATCACGAGATCCAACAGATAGAAAAATACCGTCTGACCACGCGTCTGATGTAACTCGATCTTGATCTACTGATGACCACATTCGCGCTTCACCATCCACTCCTCGACCCTAAAAACCAAGCTTTAAATTGATTTCACCCAAAATCCAACCGTAAAGTCCCAGACCTTATGGTACTTATTTTTTTTTTTTTTTTTTATCAAAGAAAGAAAAGAAAAAAAAAGGAAAAAAAGGAAAAAAAGTTAGCCTATTGAAGCTCTTGGTGCCCTGTTCTCAGGTAACCCTGTCACTGTTGGCGTGCGCGAGCGCAGCGCCAGCCGAGCCTCAGGGCCAAGTGATTCCCATAGTCAGCCAGACCCAGGAGGGCCCAAACCCGGACGGCAGCTACAAGTGGGCCTTCGAGTCGGGAAACGGGATAAAGGCGAACGAGGAGGGCCACGTGAAAAACGCGGGCTCGGAGAACGAGGCGATGGAGGCCCAGGGTGGCTTTAGCTACAAGGGCGACGACGGGGTCGACATCCAGATGACTTACATCGCTGACGAGAATGGCTTCCAGCCCGTGGGTGCCCACATACCGACGCCACCGCCCATCCCGGAGGCGATTAAACGCGCCCTCGAGTGGATAGAGAAGAACCCGTCGCCCGAGGATAAGGCGTAGACGGAGACCTTGTGGATTGTGCGTTGATCGGGGGTTCGAGTGCCAAGCGTTGGTCGCTGGGATTGTTTCGATGTGTGTGTGTTTTATTTTTTTATTTTTTATTTTTACTTCACTACATTGACGTGCTTGCCAAGTTCGATCTCACAGTCGTGTATGCGATTTTCATGCTTCTTCCACTCTGAGGTTTCGTTCGAGTGGTTTTACAGTGACAAAATTCACACTATTATTGCCCACTGTTTATCATGACGAGGATGAAAACGAGTCGTCAATCGTCATGGACTCACTTGTGTCCTGTTCCGAATTTAATATATGTATAACTGTGCACCCCTTTGTACGGTAAATGAATTTTCGCGCACGAGTGAGTGAGGAAAAATTGTGTTTTTTTGGACTATTTATGTGAAATGAAAAAAAAAAAATTGTTCAACAGAGACAGAGGAAGCCAAAAACAAGTGTTGTCAGTACCCACACACGCGTGAATCCCAGATTTTGCGTTAAGAGTCACATTGTCAATCCTTACAAATTTTGCTTACATATATTATACATATCCTATATTTTTGTACATATTTATTCTCTTGCCTAAAAAATGTTATTTTTCAATCCTTCTCTTTATATATAAAACCTATATATAAACATCCACCTAAGTATAGTACAATGTATATTATTTTATCACATAACATATTACCGTATCAGATAGGCCTGCATGTATATCATCACTGTGCAATTAAAATCAAAACAAAAATATCGATGGTTAGTTATAATGAATGTAATAATCGTCCTTGTTGCTGAGAGTTCTTTTTTTCCTCCATGCGAGCGGCAGTTGTACTTATGGGCACAGAAAATTTGACGAAGAAGAAGAAGAAGAAGAAGAAGAAGAAAAAGAATCAAAGGCGTAAACGAGCAGTACTGGTACTTTCTTTTATACAGACATACACAAGTGTACCTCTATATACATACAATACAAGCAAATATATAATATAATATATAAGTAGAGCTCATATGCGACGTGTTTAATCGTACTACAATACAAACACACGATATATGAGGAATAAAACGTTGCATCTTGAAAAACTATGGTGTTTGATTTATCATTTACTGCCAACGAGGCGCAGTAACCCATCCTCCTTCGTACGTGCATATGTATGTATGATTATGCAAAAGCATGAAAAGCCTTACGTCTATTACGTACACGTACCTGTACGTACATATTAAATACCCGACTTTCCATTTCAGCGGCAGCCGGTCGCGTTTGCACCTTTGACACGCTCGCGAATTTTTCGTCTGGAAGCTGGTGAGTAGCTGAAGGTACGTATCATTTTCATTGCCCCTCTCCTTCGGCTATTCATACGTCTCAACTGTATTACCAGAAGTACCATTTACTTTGAAGAGTTGTATCAATTATTGTGCAATGCCGGCATCTTCAAGATATCTATGCCGTGTTTTTTGCCAGAGATAAAATTCGTACTTTGATTTAGCAGAGAGGTACCGTCTCTGTATATTTTAAGTTTTTAAAGATATATGTATATACATATTTTTTTTTTTTTTTTTTTTTTTTTTTACCATGGATGTATGTAAGAAAATGTACCTTATTCCACTGAAAACTGAATTGAGTTTGAATTTGTTCCATAAAGCACATTATATAAATCAAGGAAAAAGTACAAGGATTGGAATGAAAAAAAAAAAACAAAAAAACACACATAAGCCAAGTTCGACGTTCGATAAAAGAATCTATATTCTCGATCGCACAATAAAGGAGTATACCCTCGTGGTATATCGATCACCTCTCCTTCCCTCTTTCGCTCCTCGAAACGTCCTCGCATTTAACTAAGGACTTAAATGATTTATCTCTCGTGTCTATGGAGATCTAAAAGGAAAAAAAAAAAAAAATATCGGCTCCGTGTATCTATCCACGCACTATTTGCGCGTCGACTGTTGATGCGCGCACGACGAGCTGCACACGGTATTTACAATACATCGGAATGTGTCTAGAGAGAATAAATAGCAGGAGACTTTTTTTTTTTTTTTTTATACATCTCAACGTCGTCAGCTCGTCGTGGCTTTTTCTCTGTCTCTCTCTGCAATGTTCTTGAATGTGTGTGGTGGCCCAAGGACTCCTAGACGCAGGATTTGTGTATAATACACGGCTCGACTCCTGGTGGGACTTTGATGTTCCGATGGCGAGACGGAAACGACAATCCGGTCGACGGCCCGCCCTTTCAGGACTGGGTCTTCACTGGCTGGTAGCTCGGCACCACCTGCAAAAGCAACGGTACAACGATTGGCATTGGGTGTACTGCACGCGGTTATCTCGCTTATACCTGAATGACGTTGTTCATCTCGTGGAGCGGCTCCTTGAGCAGCTCGTCCTCGGTGCTGTGCGTGGGCTCGGCGCAGTACTCCTGTCCACAGACCTCGCAAGCTTCGAAGCTCGGCTTTATGGAGTTGTACAGTTTCTGGATGAACACGAGGTTTTTATCAAGGGCAGATGATTACACCCGCACGGGACGGGTTACAATTGCATAAAGAACAAAAAAAAATATCGGTCTTTCCGTGGACAACGGCGATGAAAAAATTCTGTCTTACCTCGTAGAAGGTGGTGCCCTCAGCCCGGAAGAAGACGTAAACGGCAAAGGCAGGAATGCAAACGAGCGAAAGCGAGGCTATGCCCCAGCCGAGGGCCTCCGCCCACCAGGGGTACTTGTACTTGCCGTCGGCGTGAGTGTAATGCGGAGGCTCGTAGTCTATCAAGCTGAAGACCCACACCGACTGTGAAACAATAGACCCGTACGTCATTGTGTGCTCACGATCACTTTTGTTGATTCGAGCATTGACAAGTTTATGAACTTTTTTTTTTTTTTGCATATCATAAAATTTAATCTCTCCATATTTTTGAGATACTTGTCATTTACAAACTGTTTCAGTGGGTAAAATTAATTATGTGACGAGTTATTTAAAACAAAACAAAAAAAAAAAACAAAAAAAATCAAAATTACCGTTAACAAGTCTGATTTCATGTTTTCAATGGACTCGAAAAAAAAAAAAAAATTTTATCGTGCTCTCCTCCGAGGCATGCCAATTAAAATCGCGTTTGCCAACAAAATCACGTGACGGGTGTTTTCATCGATGCCGAGGATGGATCATTAAGCGAATCGTCCATCCGGGCACGCGCGGTCATCGAATATTATACACGCATGTGCCCCAATACCTGCATTGTACTCTGCACATGCATTATTACACGTATCAAGACTAGCGAATCAAAAGAGAGAGAGAGAGAGAGAGATATCTATAGATCATTACGTCACGCACCATCAGCTTAACGCGTTGTTAACCACACGCTTGATTAGCGCCTACTGTGACTGCTTTTTTTGACCCCCTCCCTCCTTCTCCTCACCGCCCACCCTCTGGACATATAATACACGTCGAGCACCAATTTGCGTCCCTCTATTGTACAAAGTTGCGTGACGAACGTGAATTCTATCGCAAATCAGAGGAATTAATTACAGGGCGCTTTGTTCTCCTGCCTCGTTTACTTAATCATTGGCATTTTTCTTTTTCCTCTCCCGCTTGATCGTTAGATTAGTGATTATACGAATTTACATACGTAAAAAATCTTGAATAGTATTATTATCATTATTAAAAGTCTCTCAGCCTAATCGATGCATCGAAATTTAATATAGGCACACTCGCAATGGATAACCAATTAAAAATTGTGTACAAAAGCAAAAAAAAAAAAAGATTATTTATCATACGCAAAGCTGCACGCGAGAGCGCATGCGGGTGTGTTTTCTCGAATCCTAATAAAATTCCGTGTACGCGGTAACTGTAGTGCGCAAACACGCGAAAATGAAAGGATCGATGAAACCGGTATGTACATGTGTATATATAATGATGGGCATAGGGAGATACTTTGTTGTTGTTGTAGGGCTCGGTGCACAGGCACGCAACAAATGGCATACCATTATCAGAAGGGGCGCGGCGATCAACCAACAGAAGCGAAAATACACGGAAGGCGCGCGGCCCGTCATCTCCTTGACGTTGCTGCTGAGCCGCCCGACGCCGTAGAACCACGAGATGGCGATTACTTCGAAGAACGCCAGGAACATTATGGATATCGAGGCCGCGTAATGGTCGACCAGCTGGAAGAAGTAAATTCCTCCCTGCGAACACGTGAATTTTTTTTGTCTCTTTACTTATCAAGTTAATGGTATGCCACATTTGGTCTGGGTCAGAACTGGAATCAATTTCAGTTCGTGCCAGTATTATGAATCATTGAAAGGATGGTCGTTGAAAATCCACCCTTGGAATGACTCGAAATAAGTGATTTTTAATGTATTGATAGAGTTTTCTCTGGTGTAAGTTGATCGCAAGTTTTTTATTATTGTTATTTTTTTAATTTTAAGACTCAGGTGTGTAGATACTATAAAACATAATTGTCAAAGCATGTTATCAAAACGACCTTGATATCATTGAAAGTTTTATCGTATGTCGATGTCGTTTAGTTACCTGTGTTATGTTGGGCAGTCCGAAGAGAAACGAAACGAAGCAAACCAGAAGGACCAAAACTTCGTGGCATACGAGATGCTTCTTCACCCACTTGGGAAACCCATCCTGTATGGATGTCACAACCACTTCGACAATGGCAAACTGAAACGGGAAGAAAAAAAACAAAACAAAAAAAAAAAGAACTATGTAAGTAAACTTTGAATATGGAGAAAATTGAAGTCATAGCTGAGACATAAGATACCAACCTGACTGTTGAGCGACAGGCAGACCAGCATAAAGAAGAAGAGGGTCGACCACAACTGGGACCACGGCATTTTCGCCAGCGCCTGGGGGTAAACGACGAATACCAGGCCGGGTCCTTAAACGGAAGTTATACGTTATCACCTATAAAAGCATCGGGAAGGATCGGGAAGCAGACATCTGTGAATCAACACCGATAAACACTCGATGAGCATCGCTGAGCCTTTCCGACAATGCCACGATCGTATGTTTCTCTCTTTTACATATTTCATCAACGAGTTAAACACTCGTAGCGACAACCATGCACACACACGCACAAAAAGAAAAAAGAAAAAAAAAAAAAAGTGAGCATTAGACGTACCGTCGCTTAGGACCTCGGGGACCGTCATGTTTTGCTCGACGGCTATGTTGCCGATCGTGGCAAAGGCAAAGACCCCGACCAGCAGACAACTACAGGCGTTGATCATCGACACGGCGATCGCGTCGCTCAGCACGTGGTTGTGAAACTTGTTGTAACTCGCGAAACATATCATCGAGCCAAATGCGATGCCGATCGAGTTGAAGATCTGCGCGGCCGCGTTTACCCAGACCTGAGGATAACAACGGGGAGTAAATTTTTTTTTTTTTTTTTTCTTATTCCATACTTTTTCGAGTCGATTTTATATAATAGTTGCGTACGGTGGTATCGCTACCGAGCTATCTGATAAATTGTAGCTCGTTTTCTTTTTTTCCATTCCAGCTGATTGATTTTGCGACGAAAAAAAACAAGAAATCGGAAAAAGTGACGCTGTATACCGATGAGACACGAGCAATCGAGCGAAAAAACAATTTACGTATGTGTTTGCATATGTCGAGTTACGTAGTAACTAGTATGTGTAGCGTTGGATCGTACGAGAGCAAAGTAGTGACGAGCGATCCTCGGCGAAGTACGACCATGTCATACACAATAGGTGAGCCGTGCACATGGTTTGAGATACATATATAATGTATGCAACTGTGCGGGAATATCGTGCGGCGTTTTAATGAGATAATGGCGATTGTCGCTCTGCGGTGCAATCGGTGGCGTGCAGTGCGCTTTCTATGCGCCACCTTTGCGAGAAGTCAAGCTCCCGTATCGTCGCGCGCTGTGTGCTCGTATATATATATACTCAGGAAGCTGTACTGATGGATTGGTCTTTTCGTCGAGTGTCTCGGTCTCTCTATGGGTGCATGCGAGCCATTACGCGATAAAAATCAATTGTCGTGCTAAGCGTGGCTGGAGAATGAATTGAAATATTGCTTTTTGTGTGCGATTTTCGTTCAATGCTTTTGTTTGGTGATTGAAAATAATGTTTGCCATTTTGTAGAAAATGGTCAGGAATAATAAAAAAAAAACATGACGTCACGAGTGACTTGGATCATAAAATTGTTCATCTTGTTTGTTTTAAGTTTATCTAATTTAACAATGGTGGCATTTTTTTTTAAAATTTTTATGATTATAAGATGAATAACTAAAATGACACGTACGTCGATTGTAGCTTTTTCTGAGGATACAACGATACAACGTGACTCCAAAGCAAATTAATTGTCACAGACGATTGTTAATTTAATAACTATTTTTTAAATGATTTAACAAACGTGATTTTGTAGCTCTATTTATACACTTAATTTTACGAATTTCTAATGTTTAATTGACTATAGAAAAAAAGCTACAATCAACAAAAATCGGTTCTTCTTTTCATTAAAATACATTGTACATTAGGAAACGGGTGCCCAAAGGATGCATTGCATGCATTTTTATTGAACTTTAAGCAATACATCGAATTTTAATTTACTTCTCAATCTCAAAGTGAATGATTTTTTTGTTGGATCGTTAATACCCGTGAGATTATCACCACGACCGAATGGTGTTTAAAGCAAATTGGATTTTTTTTTACTCGTCTGCATATATATGGTCGATAAAATTGTTTTTTCTCAAAAACCAATTGCTCTCGACTACCGGTAATCACGATCGTTACGCAAAACCGATCCGATCGAGTCTTCGATGGCAAGCATCGTTCAACGCTCACATAAAAACTAAACGTCCTCTCCGTAAGCACAACTATATATTTATAAAATCGATCGCTCATACGCATACAAGAGTACACTTATACTCGAAAGGAAAGCTAAAAATATAGATGAAGGTGTACCTTGGCGTCTTTGAGGAGCTCCCAATCAGGCCGAAAGAAGAACTGTAGGCCCTTGTCAGCTCCTTCGAGGGTGAGGGACCGGGTGAGAAATATAAATATTAATAGGAATGGGAGTGTCGCCGTGATGTATCTGACGCGCGCCGACGACTTTATCGACTTCCATATAGAGAAGTAAACAATTACCCAGGCGGTTATCAGACAGGCGGCCAGCTCCCACCTCAGCATGCCCGGCTCCTCGATCCCGGAGCTTATCTGCAGCACTTTGTTGCTACGCAAGTGCCAAACCGATCGCGCACACGACAATCATGATTATTCATCCGTCGCTATTTTCAATAGTTAAACGTATGTGTCATGGGGAAAAAAAAAAAAATAAATAAAAAAAGAAACAAAAGACATGCTCACTCGAAAAACTCGGCCGCAGGTATCTTGGGGTGCTTCGGTCGGGTATTGTTGTTGATCGACGGCTCGGGTATCCAGCAGTCGGGCGAGTTCCACTTGTTCCGACACCTCGACCACGGCTGTATGGGCCGGCAACCCGCGAAAAAGTAGTATATCGCGTAGGCGATTATCACGTTGTGGTAGGTCGACATGAGGAACGATATGACCACCGACGACAGACCGGCTCCTGTTAACGTACACCATACATATTGTAAGAACAAATCAATTCTACACACCCTTAGTGTGGTTCTGGAGATAGAGAGACTCTTACTGGGGTAAGGACAACTGGGGAAGAAGATTCGAGTCCTACCCTACATCCCCAATGTGAGCATATAAGGACGAGTACAACTGATAAAAAAAGTAGTGGTGTAAAATAAATTCATGAACAAAACTTAGTGCAAGGGAGGCCTCTTTTTTTCTTCGTACATTTTGTAGAGCTTTCACGGATTTCTTTTTTTTCCCCTCGCAACCAGATTCAGTTAAAATTTTTTTTCATTAAATACATTACCTTTGAACAGAGGGCACATCTGCCCGAGCGCGCCGATCGGTCCCCGACGCGTGAACTGCCCGATGCTGAGTTCCATGTACAAAAGCGGCACGCCGCACACGATGAGTATTAAAAAATACGGTATCAGGAATACACCTGTAACAAAACGCAAGTGAGCTTTACTAAAGAAGGAGCTTTTCCTTGTACCGGTACAATGACGAAGGAGAACATGAAAAAAACAAGCAGGTATATCGTCCATCTTTCGTATACTTGATGTACATTATCCGTGCCAAAGGACGACTCTGTAGCAAAAATAGTTTCAATATTTGGCGACGTCACGCGCGTTATTATAACGCGTTGTATATATATATAGGGACGAGGTGCGCGTGTCTCGTGTTCGCGATAACACGTTTCCCGAGCGCGCGTGTTCGCATTTGTTTGCGCGACGAATCATCATTGACACCATACTGTCATCGTCATAACCATACGAGCTTTTGAGCAATTGCGAGGTACACACGCGCGGTTTAATTTATGCCTCTTTATTTGATGTACTGTTTATCATAGGTACAGTATTTTACGTCAAACGAGCGTCGACTATGGCGCGTAGATCAGTCGATACAATGAGAGTGACAGGTTTGGGACCAACTTACTCTAAACCAAAGTACAATAATACATCAATGAACCCAAAAATGACGAGCACGTGACAGTTGTTTCATTTAAGTTGGAACAATCAGATGATGTTTTTTTTTATTTCCGATCGACAAAAAAAACTGTTGTCCCTCTAGACATTTTGATGAAATTGTTGAAAAAAAAGCCAAGCATTCCACCACCGCGTGAGTAACCACGCAGTTTTTTCGTTGATTTTGTTTTTTATCGCGTGTACAACTGTCATAATACGTGCAAAGAGAAAAAACTACGTACCGGTCACGCAAGCCGATAAAGCAAATAAACCGACAAAGCTGTATATCGGGCTGCAACAACGTATTGTTTATGGTAAAACGGCCGATCTCCAACATTCATGGAACATTGAAAAACATTTCTGTTACCCGAGGGGGTGCAAGGGCATCATCGTTAAAAACGCAGCCTGACCCAATGCGTATTGTCGAGTTACCCTCGCGGTATCTGATGTTATCCACGTGCACACACGCGAGTAATATTATAAAAGAGCGAACACGACACCGTGACCCTGGCCACAGAAGCGGCAACCTTCCACGCGCTCTAATCCGGATTCCGGTAGCGCGCTCGGCGTGAAAAATCCGGGCTGCCGAGTTTCCTGCCTCGTGTACATGTACCTATACCCACCGGTACTCTATTATATACACCCGAGCGCTGCGGAAGTTGGGAAGAAGAGAAAAAAAAAAAATTAATCTCCGCCCGCGATACAAACTGCAATGGCTCTGATTAATCGAGTTGCGAGTCTTTCGTGCACGATGTGGTGGTACATCATATACATATACATATATATAGGCGATGCGTTTTAATGGGGGGTTTTTGGTTTTATGTAAGGATCGTTTGTTGCGCGCGCGGTTTATTGTTGCGCAAATTGTTGTATGGACCATGACACGGTAATCACTGCCTTTTGGGAATAACAAATGGGTGTTTGCACCGTTGAGGAAGTTTGCGCGAGAAGCTTTGGACTCAAACGGTACGAAAATGATTAGACCCTACTTGAGTCAACATTGGTATATATTTTCACGTAGAGCTACTATAAAAAAAAAAAAAAAAAAAACTCCCCCACGAAAAGTAATACCATTACGTAAATTACGCGCATCATGAAAAATCGTGCAACGCGAGAGTCTCGTGGTTGTTTATGTACTCAATTGAGCACCCGAGCCGTTCCATTAGCCAAAGTAACTCGATCGGACCCTGGCGGGAAAATCCGTGCAGCAGCCGCTGGAGATGATAAAAAAGCGACATCAATCGCCGACACGCGCTCTTATTTTTTACTATTATTTTTTTTTTTTTTTTTTAGTACCACGTGTCACCCTGAAACCTCCCAATTGATCCGGGGACCATGTATGTATTATATACGCGTAATCGCTTCGCGCGAAATGCGGAAGATTCGCGCGACACACGTACATTACGCATATACATACGTGTAGTTATAAACGAGGTAATTACTCCTTCCCGCGGATAATTTTATTATACGTCTACCGTAGCCGGCAAAGCCGATTTGCAAGGGATCCTCGTGGAGGCACTTGAGAGACGGTATTGCGCAATGGCGGGCTGATCGAGTTACCAACGGCCAGCCAACGAGGCGTATCGTTGTGTAATCTTCTCCCCCGGATATTTGAGTTTATCAATTATTTCTCCTCCAACAGGGCGGATCTGACGGACTCCCAGTGGTCGATCGGTATATATACCTCAAGCGCGATTCGTTCGGCAGCTCTGATTTTTCCCATCCTTTCTTTGTCTCGCGTACAATACTGTATGCGGAGTTTGATTCTAAAGTTTTTTTTTTTTTTTTTCTTCCGTCTCTGATAACAATAATTGGTTTTTTATTCATCGCATCTAAAACATCGCCAGACGTCATGTTCTTGTCTTTAAGCACGGTGCACTTGAATTTTGATGTCGAAGATAGATATTGAAATTTGTTGTTAATTTTGAGTATCAAAAATAAAAAAATATACATTATCCTATGAAAAGTCCGAACAAGAGCTTTATTTTCAACTTAAAAATCAAAAAAAAATGCCAGCTCCGATATCCGTAAGGCATAAAAAAGTTCCCCCACGGTAAGGGTAAGCACGAAAGCGCGTGTATACCCGAGAGCTTTTCGCACACTGGAAAATTTAATGCTGCCGGCTAATAGACGCGTCTGCCGTCCTCGGACGAGGGCGAAGTTAATCGGTCCTTCACGCGAGGGCCCGCCGTTATCGCCGACGCTTTTTAAACAGCGGCACGCGTCTCTCGTCGTAATATTGTGCGCAGTTCGCGCGTCCTTGGTTCTTGATCCTTTCGTGTTAAGCTTCCTGCACTCTCGCTCTGGTGTAATCAAGAGAGCTTTGAATTATATATATATATAATAAAAAACACGGAATATACCAGTTGTTTATTGTACGTATGCACGTTTTGTTTGTTTAGTGAAATGGAAAAATTTCCTCCAATGTATATGGGATGATGCATTTTTTAACATGAAATTGTGCTTCGGTGGCAATATCGCATGAAATATTAATTTCAGAGGTAATTTTGTAACAACATTTGGTAGCACGATCTGTGTGTATGAGTTGGGACTGATATATATTATTTACCAACTGTACCACCAAATACTCGTTTGTACAGAGGTAAAATTAAAATTATAAATTCAGCAGATGTCCAAAGTTATCTTCACAGACTGTTAGTTAAAATAAGGAGCGACGATAGTTTTTCTCTCACAAAAATATCATTTATCCCTTACGGCTCAAACTACACAATTTTACATAGTCGTGGCTTTGTATAGTGGCTCACCTTGTAAAATGCTGGAAAGTGTTCGTTTTTTTTTTGTTTTTTTTTCTTAATCGTGCACTTGGTGTACTATTCCTTGTGAAATTTCACAGTAAGCGATACTTTTGACTGAAATACCTTCCTCCGTAAACATTTCAAATACATACACAAATGCCAACCAAAATGGTCGGCACGTGGATCTCACTCACCTCCGCCGCTCTTGTAGCACAGATAAGGAAACCTCCAAACATTGCCAAGACCAACGGAATAACTAACGCAGGCGAGGACGAACTGCGCCTTGTTCTCCCAGTGGGGTCGCCGCGGCTGGCGGTAATCCTCCGGGTCCTCGGCGTCGGGGTCGTCGAAGCTCGTGCACGTCGACAGGTCGTCCTCGACGGGCCTGGATTTTCAATAAAATTTCACCGTACAGCTTACAAATCGATGGAAAAGACAACACGTACATTGCAATTTTTATCGCTTCAACGAGTGAACCAAGTATTTGTGGTTTGATGCTCTGTATTGGTTAAAACAACAGTGTAGGTACCATCATTTTGAGATCAAAGGAAACAAGTAGGTATATACATATTCGTCGCGATCGAAACGGTGACGAGTCACGAAAACGGAAAAGAAAAATGGTCCTGCCAATGCGTACGGTGAATAAAATATGGTGAACGGCGACAATAATCCAATGTGATTTGTAGTAATGATCCCACAATTTACCAGCAACCCGATAAGATAAGATAGGATGAAGATAAAAAAAAACCCGAGGATAGGTATAATGTCGCACTGATCGCGTTTTCAGGAGTTAATTTTACGAGTAAACATTGTAATTAACTGTCATAATTACGTGTAATATTGGAAGTACATCGATGAAACGTTGTTTTTTTTTTTTTTTTTTAATCTTGGAATCAAGTATAAAATGTGGAAAGAAAAATAATTCAGGGTCGGGCACGTGAGAAACGTAAAAAGGGGAAACCGACACCGGAGGGAATAAGAAACGGCACACATCCTGCGGTCGCACGGGTGCGTTTCGCGTCTCGAGATAACGCAGCTTCTCGCGTATCGTGTGCCATTAGGTGGGAGCTACTTGGCGAGCTAAACGAGGAAGCGTCTGTGTCAAGGTCGTCTCTCTGTCTGTCGCGCGTTTCATTGTATTATTGTAGGCTAATATTTTTCAATGTTTCGGAATTTTCATACGTTTCGATGCAAAGTTATGACACAGGATTAGTGCTTTTTATAACACCAATTGGATGTTAAGTCATCTTTTTTTTACACCTGGTGATTACTCACAGCCTTTACTCAAAACCGAAAAAAAACCATTTGATCTTTCGTAAACTCACAGTTTATCTAGATGGTTGCACCGAATATGAAGGACTTATTCGTAAGGTTTTATTACCAGATGCCATGAAAATACCCTCAGGATTTATTTTTGCCAAAAACGTACATAACTAAAAAACAGAAAAAAAAAACAAAAAAAAACGAAGCTCGACGAACGCCAATTACCATGGTTATAATTAATCACTCTGAGAACAGAAAAAAAAAACAAAAAAAAAAAAAAAGAAACAGGTAGTTGACGGATAAACATATGAAAAAAAGCTTTTGTCTTTGTTCAAATGTTTCCCCAACTTTTTAGAAATCACATACTTTGAACGGATGCCAAATTTAGTAGGTCTTGGCGCCAAGTCAGTTTATTTGCACGAAACAATGTTGACTCAACCATATAGATATGATACGTTAGAACAATATAATATCTCTTTCGTCAAATGGATATTGTTGTGGTTGGATTTACGGTAAAAATCTGAGCTTCGGCACTGTAGTAAGCCAAAATATTTTTTTGTGCACTAGTTTTTCCACCCACGTCTCGGAAATTCATGTATTTTCACAAAAGTATCAAAACACGCAAGAGTTTCATTTCGTACAGTCACGAAATTGAGTGGTTGGAAAAAAAATCGCATTCGTAAGCTCGAAACTTTGTCCAGAGAAGGATATTCAACTCGAATTCTTTCGATAATTTCCCGAGATAAAAAAAAAAAAAACTTTCAATGTCAAAGCGTTCATGTCACGTATAAAATAATATACGTCCACCTATCTTTATGACTAATAGAAAAAAAAAAAAAAAATGAAACAAATTAAAGTAAAAATCGTCAAGGCTATTAAAAAAGAGACACTCCCAAAGTTCTTTCACCTTCTCCTTCGAGAGAAAAAGCCTGACAAACCACCCAGAAACCAAGTGGCTCTCAAGAGCGTGTAATAATCATGACGAGCAAAAAAAGAAGGAACTGAAAAAAACGTGCGCCTCTCATCATCACACCAGAGGTCACTGACCTGTACTTATGTGCCAGTGCTGTGAGTACTGTCATTGTCGTCGTTGTATCGTTGGCGTATAGGTGCTGTTGTTGTTCAAACGAATTCACGTAAGATCTGGATCTCGTGTATGCGCGTCATACGTACGTAATATTTATAAGTGTCCGGTAGTGTATTGTACTCTCGAAAGAGTCACGGATGTTAGGAATACGAAAAAAAAAAAATATACGAGGAATTACCAACTGGAGATAATTTCAGGCCCGGAAAGAGTCTTGGTCTCGTAAATATATATTGGATTGCAGAGAAAAAAAAAAACATGTAACATTGAAAAATTTATTTGTAACAGGTATCATACTATTTGCTCTTCGATGTATGAGTTGTAAGAACCATTTCATGACATCTCCAAACTGTGTAATGTATTTATTATTTTCTCATTGATGCTTGATTTTTCCATGTTTTCAATAACAACGTTAAAGTAAAACGGTACTAAAATCTAAAGTTACCAGCAATTCTAATTATGTATTGTGCAACGTAATTGACAACAATATCATAACAATAACACGAGTAGCTTTGTTAAGGTTGAAAATTTTTGAAAACAAAAGAAAAATATCATACTACAAAATAAATTTTTTCTAAACGAAAAAGTGTTCATCTAAAACACACACACAATTTGTTTTTTTTGCAAACATGGGACGATCTCACAGATTAAACAACTCGAAAGGAAGCGACATTGCATAATTTTTATATGCATCGATGTAATACAGGATCTAGCGAGTTAAAAAGAAAAAAAAAAAAAAAAAAAAACACCGGTAAGGAAAAATTGAACGAAATCCAGAATTTTACAACTTTAGAGACTATACAGGAAAGGAACGATTTATTGTTACTCCCACAAAGTTTTTCAATCAAAGCGAAATTTCTACCCACGCGATTGAAATGAATATTCTAGAACTCCATCCCCAACGTATACCTCAACGCGAGATTTCAACGCGTGCAAACAAATACCGATCTCCCGTATTATTTTGACACCTCCACCTCAACGAGTTAGTATGTAGCGTTGGTCTCGGCGTTGGTGGTATTGAGAAGGAAAAAAAAAGTGATGTACTCACGTGGGCGGATGTACCATGTTGAGAAGCTCGGAGGGTGAGGTCGGCACCCTGCGTATGGTGAGTTTCCTGCCATCGGACGAGCCCATGCCGATCGAGGCGAGGGAGCGTATCGAGACCGAATCCGGGGGGTAAGCCCGGCCGGCTTGCGACATCATGCCGTGGACGTTGTCTGGGAAGAGAATCGAGCCCCAGCTGTTGTTGCACGCGCTCGCCGGGTAGAGCTGCTGTGCCTGGTGCTGGTGCTGCTGATCTCGATTTTTTTGTTGTTTTTTTCCTTTTTACTTATTTATTCACTTTTTGCATGCTCCTACTTCCTACGGGACGATTTAGGGCGGACATATCGCACTATGGTTCTATACAAGCAACTTAAGCATACACTACTCTATAATTTTCACTCGAATGGACAATGTGAAAATGACTCTTCCGAACAGCTCTCTCTCCCTCTCTCTGTGAGCGCGCGTCTTTATCGCGAAAACGCAAAGGCAAGAATCGTTATCTCCGGCTCTTCTTCTTTTTTTTTTTTTTTCGGCTCCGATGGTTCTGCATGTAACTAATGACAAGCGTATACATGCACACGCGCTCAATGCCGATCCGGAGCAAATACCGGCTCGCCTTATTGTTACCAATATTGTTATTTTTATAACTTTTCGCGTATATTATTGTTTCATCGAGTCTCTATTGCTGGGGCCCCGTTTCTCTTACTTTCCAGGCATGAGCGGACAGTAACGTTACACGAACCAGTTGTAAAATTCTAAATGCCCGTATTTATAGCTCCGAGGGGGAAGCCAACATTTTGATAGCAAATAAAAAAAAAAAAAAAAAAAAAGAAGCAAGGGGTTGAGACTCTCGGAGAAAAAACAAAAGACACACGCGCAGAGAGAGAGAGAGAGAGAGAGTGCGGGCGGGTGGCGTACCTATACGGTCGCCTCGTCGCGCATCGACTAACTCGGCGACTCGCTCGTTCATAAAAGTCACAAGTAGGTATTAGGTACACGGGAGCGCTATGAGCGCGGCGGCCGCGTGCAGCACCCGCGCATCAACACAGACACACACACACACACACACACAGAGAGTGTTGCACGAAATGGTGTATATTATATGATGAGAGACAATATGTGGTAGTTACCGGGTTGGCGCAGTAGTTGTGCTCGTCGCTGGTCGAGCTGGACTTGAGCGAGCGCATGCTGGGGTGCCGACTGCAGTGCCTCGACGCCGGTAGCTGTTGCAACGGACAGCCGCAGTCGTTGGCCGCGGGGAGCCGACGGGCGTGCGTCTGGTGCAGCTGGTCCCGGGGCCGGCGAGTCAGGGGCGATTTCTCGTGGAAGCTGTCCACGCTGTCGTTGAGGCTGCTCCTTGAACGTTTCACCAGTGGACTGTTACGGCGACCGCGGCTCGACTGCACCAGCTGCACTGGCTGATGTTGATGGTGGTGGTGGCTGATGGGGGTGGCTTCATGGACACGGGTGGTGGAGGTGGACGACGAGTGACCATAGCCCGGGGGCGAGGAGGACACTGCCGAGGCTGCGCTCAGTAGGCGGCCCCGCTCCTCGTACGTGGTCGTCGTCGTGGTCGAGTCCGAGTCATTGTCAGCGTGACTGCTGGCGAGGCTGCGGGCGCTAGGAATGGATTTTCTTTTTGATGTTAAAAAAGGGGTAGCTCGAGGGTGGCTCGTATATCGTTGGAGTTTCCAAGTGTTGATTGGAGCCGAAAAAAAAGTGAGCTCACCTGTTTGGGCAGTTGTTGTCGAGGTCGTCGGAGCTGTCCTCCTCTACCATGGTGCTCATCTTCCTCTTGTGTCCGTTGGTCTTGGCTGCGGCCTGAGCGACCGTCCTGGGCGCCACGATGGGCTGTGCGACGCCGTGTTCATTTTGTTGGGCGTCGCTTGCCACCTGGGGCTGGTGGTTGCCATTGGGTACGATGGGCTCGTGCTTGTGGGCTGGCGGTGGGGGTGACGACGTCGCGGCGACCACGAGAATGGTGGGTAGCTCGTCGGGGGCCACGGCGTCGGGACTCTTCGTTACCGGCTCTTCCTTGTCACTTTGCGCGGCTGCCGGCTCCATGATGGCATGACGCAACGTCACCTAATATCCAGACCATCGCCGTTCAGTTTATTTACAAACCTTACTTTTTTCATTTATTTCTTTTCTTTTCTTTTTTTTTTTTTTTTTTTTTTTTTTTGTATAACTGGTTTATGTATTTTTAGACATGATCGTCTCGTGATACTTTAACGGCAATTTATAGGTGTACCGAATTAGCCGATGAGAAAGTTTAAATTTAGTTCCCTGGAACGTGATTAAGTATTTTTATGACTGAGCGGATGGAACGATAAAAAAAAATAATAAATTTGTCACTCGTTGAGCTATTGACTAATTTTTTTACCTCAGAGTCATAAAAATACACATACTTTGCGTTTGCTTAAGTATATTGTTCTTAATTTTGCATGCGATTCGAAAGGATTTCGCTGTCTTGTGTTAATCATTTTTACACAAACATGGGGTAAGACGAAGAGATCAAAGGGTCTCTAGAGACTCGATAACAGCAACTCGTTATTTCTTGGTTGATTTTACGTGCGAATTCTCTGGGTAAGGATCAACTGAGCAGACAAATAAGTAAATCATCAAGTTACTCAACAAGACAAAAAGTACTGCTTTCATTGAGCTCTAGGTTAATCGCGTTCAATGATTTCATTTAAGGAAATTTAAAAAGCACTCCATTAGTTTGGAGCGAGTTAATTTTAGAACGAATTCAATATTGAGAAAGAACAAATATAGCGGCTATATCATTGAGATAAACCCCGAAAGCCGAATACTAAAGAGGTTCAAAGCTCCGACAAAAAGACAAAGATCTCAATAAATTTATTATTTTAATCAGCAGATACGTCTATCCCCGAAAAATTCCATTCCTGATGTATACTTTTGATCACGAAAACCAAACTTATCATAATCGTGAAAAAAAAAAAAATGAAAAAAAATTCTCAACATCGCTAATCCTACAAGATTACAGCTGTAAACGTAAAATTGTATAAATGACATCAGCACAAGACTCGTCGTATCGTAAATTAATTATATGTCATAAAACAACATTAGCCGGAAAGATGATGACTCCGTAAACACGTAGATAAATAGGCCATTTCTCTGAAGCTCACAATAACGTCTACCCAGTCCCTTTGAGCTATCATATGGGACCTAAAGTTCCCTTAGTACGACCAAAAAATTAAAGTATACATTAATCTGTATTTTCTGATCAAGAAGGTAAGGTTCAATCAGTGTGTTCCGTAACCCATCCCAAATTAAAATTTTGATATAAAATATTACAAGGGACAAAAATATAACTGATGTAATTTTTTTCGAAAGTTTTCGTATCATTCAGTTATTTGATTATCAGCTTCGTAAGTTTGCCAAAGTATTGCCTAAATGATTTTCTTCCTCGTAAAGTATATTGTTTCAATTATATACTAGTCGTTAGTAAATCATTCCAAGGAAACGTCATAATTTCAATTCAAAGCAGTGATTAGATCTTTCAAGACGAAAAAGCAAACTTTGTACATATTTTTTTTACTCATAAACTATTGGTAAAAAAAAAATATCTGCGATCATTTATTCCTTATTCTTACATAGAGAATTTAAAATAATTTTTTTATTAATAAAGGTAACAAAAAGTTCTCGAAATGATTGCAGATCGGTTGTCATGCAATATAATCCTTGTCCAATGTTATGGCAAAACGATCGATCCGATAATTGAAAGTTTGGGTGGAACAATCCATGTAGGGTGAAAAATTGCGCAATAAATTGAACGGATCCTAATTGATCGGGCCGACGATCGGTACCCAAAGCGCGAACCTACAGCAGTCGAACGTGAGAGCTAATGTTTATGAAGCAAGTGCAAATTGACGATAAACGCAAAGTTGAACAAACACACCGTGGTAAAAGTGTCAAAGGGGAGCGGAGGGTATGGAACGATCTTGTTACGATCCACTGACTATACGTGGCTATTTGTAATGCTTTATTATTACAATTGGCCGATCATTGGTTATCGTTTACTCAAGATTTTACCGAATATAGACTTAACACGTATACATATGACCTTTGCAATTTTTCGCGTTGAACAAATGCTCGCTAATCACTTTTATGTTTCTCTTATTTCTAGATGTATTTCTCAGGCGATTTATACAAAAAAAAAAAAAACAATATCCTTCACTCGATATCTAATCTTATAGCGATAAGCCGATATTTTTAATTATAAATAGCCAAGGTTAAACTTTCAAGTCAATATTATTATTCATGATATAATGGTGGGTCTATTTAGCACTACTTTCAATGTAACTGCATTAAATGATGATGACGAAGATGTGATAAGATCGACGCCTCTACCTATATAGCTTATTCATTAGCTTATGGTCGATTTTCAATGTTTTGAGATCAATCGCGAGGAAAGTGGGTCAGTTATTTTGGCCAAACATCGGTTGAGAAACCACCGTGACGTCGAGCATTTCATTTGTTAATGGAATTTTGGTTTCAATAAGCATTTATCGATGATCAGAATCATGCAAAATAATCATTCGAAAAAAACAAAAAACAATATAAACACTTGTGTTTATGCGTAGGAGAAATAAGAGCATTTATATTCACAAGTAAACAAAAAAAGAGTCCACACGAAATCACGTCACTTTTAATACGACATCTTGCATCACAATGCGTACAACGTAATACTTGAATGTAGGTGATTGCCAGATGAACACTTCCACATCTAAATTCGCGATAGTCTGCAAAGAGTTACACGCGATTCAAGGACGGCGTATATATACACATGGCACTTACTTTCGACGTGAGAATCGTCATGAGTTTATTTTTCTTGGTGCAAGGGATCTGTATCGGGCGAAAGAAAAAAACAATGTGAGGAAAAGACAAAAAGAAGGTTTGGCATAAAATTCACGAGAGCGGCTTATCGAGTTGCGGATCTTATCGGCCACGTGCCGAGCCTTTTCTCCGATTGCACTTTTCTTCGATTACCAATAAGGTTTTTATTGGTTACAGCACAATGACGTGACGCATGGAACTTTTAGTACCTCAGATTTTTCAATTGATAAATCTTCTTCTTAGGCTGATTTTTTTTTTTTTTCGATTGAAATCCTAAGACAGCGTGAATTTTTTTCTTAATTCTTTTGTACCTACTTTGCATTTGTAAAACAGTTTTATTTTTTATTTACGGTGATTCAATTTTTTTTTCTGCGCTAATCAGCGCATACAAATTGAGAGGAGAAGAGCAATTATCTTATCTTTCTGATGATTGAATAACGTCGGACGCAAACAGAGTTGATTTTACATAATAGCATATACAAACGAGACAGTGACATAATTCGTGTCGTGGAATTGGTGACTCTTCGATGATGGAACAGTGATTTTTTACTTCTTTAACGTACACACGTGCGGAAATATAATTTATTTCATGCAATGCATGTAAAACATGATGCTTCATTGATTCGAAACATATTTTAAAGACACGTTGAAGGTCAAAACTAATTTTACAAACTGTACACAGAAGTGTAGCCTTTATTTTATTTTTAATGTTCTGTCATATTACGATAATCAACAAAACTGCGACCTCGACATTACCTGTATTCGTGAAAAAACTGTAATAAAATTATCAAACTTTCACGAAGATAGATAGAAAAAAAAGTTCAAGGATAAGAGCAATTGTATTAGTAAGACACTGAAATCTAAGATCAATTTGTATACTTTCTCCCAAACTAATTCGTAAAGTTGCAGGAACTATTGTTTCTAAAAAACATTATCTCACTAATGCGTTGATAGCACTAGCATTGAAAAGCAGCTCCTCCTGTGGCCGTGTAATTATTGGCTGGTGATACAATAAAATACCATGAAATAGATACATATTAGATAACAAGACACTGCATCAGCTGAACGGAACGTATATCGCCTATTCATGACGATATTATTACTTTAGTATTGAAAAACTTTTTGTATCTTTTACGTTTCCAAAATATAAAATCGTATGAATTAAGTGTTTAAGTAATTACTGTCTAAGCTGAGAAGAGAATTTACTTATTTTATTTAAAATCATCATTCAAAACGGAATGTTTGAAGTAAACAGAATTCAGTAGTTATATTTTCGGTATTTTTATAATCTTACGCAATAATTTTTTTCCATTTTATCTAAAAATAAGAAATTATAAAATATTTATTTGTAATTGATAAAAATTATCCTGACACAAATAAGTTTACATATTTTTAGTTACTGAGAAAAACAAGAAAATTTTTGCAAAATTACTTGTATGGGTACACACATCCACGAAATAAAGAGTTAACAATATCTAAATATGGGCTTTGTTTCGATAATTGCTAAAACTTTTTTGTTCGACCAATTTTTCTATTTTTATTTTTAAAATTTTTTATTCACCGTACTATCCTTGAACGTTTGCTATTCGATAATGCCACAGTTCTGACGATACGTGTGCCTCTCCAAGCTACCCATGTCTTTTTAATAATTTTTTAAAACTTCTCTAGCTTACTTTGAGTAAGAAACAATCTAAATTTCTGAGACTAATTATTTTATTTCTATACAGTTAAAAATTAAAAAGTTATGTATTTGGTTTGATTTGGTTTGTATGCAATGTTCTTCATAGCTATCGTTATTTTTACTCTTAAGGAAAATGATTGAAATAACCATACAAAATTGAAAAAAAAGTGTTCAAGAAAAGTTGAAATTGAAACAGTTAAAAATATTTATCAGGTTTACAATAAACTACGATTTATCATAGCTCACGATATTTTTTAATATTCCAGCGTTAAGTTTTAATACTATTATTGTCATCAAGATTACATCATAATAATAATTATAGTCATTACAAAATTCGAGCACAATTCATAAATTGTATTGGTTTCGTTTATTATTATCATTGCAGTCATTATTGTAATAAAAATATTTTTTTCTTCTTTTCCGTCATCAGTAAGAATTAAAAATAAAAATAAAAAAACTAAAGAGTGCGGGTTAGAGCTAAAAATACAATTACTGTAATTTGTAAATGTGGGCCAGAGGAGTCGCTCAAACCGTAAAATTACAATCTATACTGATAAAAATTAAAGAGCAGGAAAGCGCCGCAGTAATATCGCGTGACATCATACTTACCACGGCACGAGCGTACAACATCAAAAGAATTTCCGGGAACACGTGTGTGCACGGGTGCGTAATAAGGCGCGCGCGCGCTAAGATGAAAAGTGACACTCGCGTCTCTAAATTTTGTACTTACACGTTACATCTACTAAGCTCCTTAGGCTCAATTTCCGCAGGGGAGCTTTTGTGAACGTGACGTATTTAATTAAAAGCGCTGCTGTAATTCGAGAAAATTTAACCCGAGACAGCTTCTCCCTCTATTTCATCCGCGTTCGAGAAAAAAGTTTTTCTTTTTCTTCCTTGTATCAATCTTTTGTTTCACCTGAGCCAGTATACTCTGTACTGTAAAATTTTTGCAAAACTACGTGGTTTTCATCTGGTAAAGTTAGTAAAAAAAAAAAAAAAACAGACGCCAAATCGTCCTCATGTCTTTTTCTAGCAAAAGAAAAAGAGAGAGGGAAGGTCCGAGCCTCGTGTAATTTATTCAAAAACATCGTTTCCTCGCGAGTGCGTTTAATTATACACATGGTTGGCTCAGCTGGAAGCCCCCACCTATTCGCCTCAACCTCGAAATCGTCAGCCTCTCTCTCTTCGTTATAATGGCCCAGCTGGTGCTCTTGAAAGCTTTCGATTGTCCTCTTTTTTCGGATGCTTAATTTGTTTATCGGATCGCTGCGAGATGCGTATGCCTGTTTTTTTTTTTTTTTTTTTTTTTTTTTTTTTTTTTTTTTTTTTTCATTATTTCTACATACAGTTGGCGACGAGAAGATGCCGATGAAGGTCTCGAGAAAAATGGTCTTTTCAATCGAATCATCATGTGGACCATTGTGTTTTTGTGACTGTACGTGCCTCAGTTGTACACCGACACGCTGACGAGTCGTAAAATATACCGACACGCGTGATCCTCCACTTTTCCAACCATGTGACCAAAACGTATATTTTAACAGGCAATGCCACGGGACATCCTCCACAGTACCCATCATTTGTCACTTTTACCAATTCCATCATAGAGAGGCTCGGTATATCATCATGAATCACTCGTTAATACAATAAACCCCTGTCATTGCATCCATTCCAAAAAAAGACCGAAGTAAGATTAACGTCGGCTCTTGATTATACTTTCAATGAATGAAAAATAAAAAAAAAATCTAATTATACATGAATCAAAAGTACGCATGATCCTATCGGCGAGTCTAAGAACCCTGGACTAAATAACACGTTCCTTATCACCTCTTTTCCACCACACATGCGTGCATTAACCAAAGAGCGCATCTGAGGCGCGCTCATAACTCAATCACCTGACGTATAAACAAACGCGTGCACACGTATACTCTCGACGTGACGGTCATGCGCGCAAAATGTATCCTCTACACGCATCGTAATATATACTTACACACGTGAATGAGAATTGCGCGCTAGTTCCACCTGTGCATGAATGTACTTATTTGCAGGTTCTTTGAAAAATTTTTGAGATAAATTCGAAAATAAAAGGTGACTACATGCGAGAATGAGTCACCCGTTGCCGGTACCGATAACAACATCAACGATGACTCCTCGGCGTTACCGATCGCGGCGTACGAATAAATCCGATCCATTGTTTCTTTTCTTTTTTTTCCTTCGGTGATGGCACAGGCATAAAAAATTCACACGCCGGGTTCTCGCGGATAACCTGAATCACCTTCCTACCACGCGACCTCCTCGGTCGCGCACCCTATGATCGTCCACACCGAAAGGACATCAGGGTAGTAGACGATCTCTCGCGAGTCAGCTGACGATGGGTGGATCAAGTTGATCGACGAGAACGCGAAAGCTCTATCGCGCGCTTATAAATAGCCCGGCTCATCTGGGGTCAAAAGCTACTCTCCGCGCGTCAGTTTCGCGCGCGTACCCGTTTTGTGCGATGAAACTTAAAATAAAAAAAAAAAAAAAAAAAATTCATCGTATTTTCGTACCTCGAACGAATTTCACGTTTGGAAAATAAAAGCAGGAAAGGTATAAAAGAAAAAAAAAAGTCCACGAGCTTACACGTACCTGCGAGCTATGTGGTAAAGCGCGTGTCAGTCATGAAGTGCACGTGGACGACATAATATATATGTATGATATAATGTAGGTACAGCTGACCGGCACCTCAACTGTTACGTACACACTGAATGTTTATCCATTTGTCAATTCATTTACAGATCTGTGTCTCTTTCTCTTGACACCAAAACACACGAGATGTCTTGCATCCAAAGCAACAGCACCACGGCACGTGCCTCACTTGGTAAGCACGAAAATCCATCCCAGTACTAATCCCGATCTCGATTCAAAAGTGCGGCTGACTCTGCACCGCAGTTCACTCGGTCACACCAGACACTGCTCGTCTAAATCACCCAAAAATTTGCACAAAAGCTCAAATACACATGAGGAGCACAAGTGAGAAACAACAACGAAAAAAAAAATAGAAGAATAAACAAGAAGCAGTTGGTCGTCAGCTGGTCGGCCAAGTTCTGCCGCCGAGCAAAGCTCTCCCGAGCCAAGAGAGGCCCGCGCGGAAATCGAGATCCGATCTCTCTCTCTCTCTCTCTCTCCTTCGCTACTGCCCGGCGCTCGTGCACGCGTATATACACACATCCACACCTCTTTCTTCTCGTCTCCCTCGCTCTTCTTTCTTCCTTTTTTTTTTTTTTTTCTGTTTTTTTGTTTTTGTCTTCTGCGAGCCAGCAAAAGAGGAACATACGCATACCTACACCACTTACGTCTATACGCGTGTGTAAGTGTGTAATACTACAGAGCGATATCGTTTTGAATGCCGGTGGAGTCTCCGCCGAACGCTCGACGCCAGAGACAAGAGGAGCTTTCGCAAACTTGCACAATGTCTACTTGTCAGTCCACCCACGGTACATAGTATTCTTCTTCTTCTTCTTTTTATCGTAAAATGTGTGTACTTACGCGTGCATACACTGCACTCGTTTTTAAGGACAAACTGTACAAGAGCATGTATATACGTTTGGTCATACGTGTATGTACGTCGATTACGTGTTGTACATGTATATATGCGTGCGAATAAGTGAATCAGGTAATTGCCCGTTTGTGTTTTGCGTGCACGGATGATAACTCGTTGTATACGTTGAGTGCATTTTTACGTGTTTTTCCTTCATTCGACAGATAGAGAGAAACATCTGTTTCTCCGTGTATACACGTAGGTACATCCGCGAATATATAGCAAATAGAGCATGCAGGTATATATGTGTGGTGTATACATTATATACATACGTATAGTACGAGATCACGTTAGCGTGTATACGTACGTATTGGTGCACTTTAATGCCATACCCAAAGCACGTATGCGCGTAATTAAACGCTTATTAAGTCGATATACGCTCAAACACACGTTCCCGTTTCAAAGAGTATACATTTATATAGATATGTGATCTTTCTTCGGCCGCTATAATAAGTAATGGCTCTTGGTCGTCGTCTCTTCACGGCTGTCCTTATTTCAGTCGCGTGTGCAAAAGAGAGCACGATGCGTATAAGTAGTAACAGCCGAGGCCGGTCAGACCTCCTCCCATTATTTTCGTGTCCTTTTTTTTTTTTTTTTCCTTTGCCACGTCCCACCGACGCCCCGACGTTGTTTCCTGCGCTTCGCGAAGGCGTGAAAGTACCAGTTTCTCTCCTTCCACGGGGCCCGGCTATTCTCGCTTCGATGCCCGCGTATAAGCTTGTCCTCGGGAGTATTTTGTGTATGTCGTCGCTTTGTCCGATGACGACGATAATAATACGTGCGAGGGCTCTTCAACGTCGCGCACGTGCGTTTCGTTGTTCGAGGGATCTAAATTAAAACAAGCCAAGAATTTCGGGTTAATTGCCCCCCTCGGGAGATGCGCGCCGGAGCTTTTCGGGCGATTTGGCCGCGTTAAGTGGTCCCACACTCTCTGCCGGTCGCCTAATTTCTCTCTCGGCTATGCTCTTGTTCTCCTGGCGTCGTTTGCCTCCCTTCCCTCCACGCGCGTATGGGGGCTCCTGCTGGGAACAATTGCCGTCGTCGTCTCGCCTTCCTGTGCGCTGTCAATTGCCGTTTTGTTTGGCGCGGCGTTTATAAGTGAAAGCAGGGGAGAAAATCGTTGTTTTGCTGCGATTCGTGAAAAATAACAATCGTCGTTGTTTTGCAGGGACACTTTATTTTTTTGTTAATATCTGACAGTTTTTAAATGATCAATTTAAATATGCACAACTTTTTTTATGATCGGACAAGTTTGTCACGGCATTGGGAAATGAACGTCATGCCTTAACCATCGTAAATTTCAGAGGCATACAAAATGATGTTTGTTGTAACAAATATCTCCGAGGGAAGGTGGACTTGAATTTTTAATTAATAATCTTAATTGTTAGCCCATTTGTGCATCAATTGCTTATTATTGTTTTTGTTTTGTTTCATTTCTTAGCTTTTGCCTTCGTCAGAAAAACATACATCAAAACTGTTTACAATTGATTACTTAAAAACACCAGACGATTCTGGAAGTTAATTCCTTTGTCAACTAATCGTGAAGCAACATCGAGAGCCAGTGGCGGTGATAAACATTAATGTTTTGAAATATTGAGATTAATGTAATTTACTTTGATTACTTTTTTCCTTTTACAATTAAATTATTTTTGCGTTGCGAACATCTTTTTAATTTCTTTCTTAAATCATGGTACCAGTGGCAGGTTTTTATTAGATTTTCCTTTTTTTAAGACAACTCCATTTAAGGATAAAAAATGTGGTACCATTGTTGTCATTCTTGTAGATACAATTTTTTGTCAACTGATTGTACTACTTTCTAATAATATTTAATTTTAAATTTTAATATTTACTATTGCCAAAAATTATTGTCTTGCATATGCAGAAAATATACAGTTTCGATTTTTTTGCAGGAACATTAAAATAATAAAATATTTTTAGTATTAAAAAATGTTTTAATAATTAATGTTGAAGTATTAAACTCGATTAAGGTAACTGAATGTATAAATTCCATGTACTGAATTTTTTTATAAATTCTGCAAGCGTCTATTGTATGACTGTTAAATTAGATAAAACCATCGAGGATATAAATTTCGTAAAGTATTTTGCACTACTATCAACAAAGCCAAGATTTAATTAATGTCTTTGAAGTAATGCAATGTCTGCACGACTGTTTGACAAAAGATAACACCCAAAGGTTCTCGTTACTTCCATCAGCTTAATTAAATCATTTTTAATTTACACATGCAAATAAGTTAATGAAAATTAATTAAAAACTTTTTTTATCGGACGCGCGAAAAAAATTAATGAAAATTGAGTTTGTTATGCGATTACGTTCGCACGCATTGAAAGTTACATCATCACATAACAGCGGAAAAACAATGATCGTATTCATGGAAAATAATTAGAAAGTTAAGAATAGACTCAAAGTCAACGCGAACCTTGATTTTGTTATAATCAACACGAGAGTAATTTTTACATAGATGGAGAAGTACTCTAAAGATTTTGGATGGCGTATTAATTTACTTTTTAAATTATTCTATTTTGTTTTTGCTGAGAACATGTGGAAAAATGATGCTCCAAAAGTCTATCGCTGCCAGTTTTTTCTCAAACATTCAAGTTAATGTTTATAAAGATAAACCGATACAAGTGAATGAAAAACTAGACTTATTTTGACTATTTACTTTGTTTTTGTTTTTTGCAAGAAATAAATTACGAGGGTTTTAAAAAATCAAGGGATATCTGTGTTTTCGGTCAACGATAAGTTCCCAGTTTGCTTATAAATACATTAAATTGGAGGGAAAAAAAAAAAAAAAAAAACTTGAACAGTCTTGACTCCCTCGAGAAATCAATGACCTGTACCGTGGCGCGCTGACCCGCAGTTATTTTACGCACACGACGTACACCTATACACCCACGTTAATTTCTTATAAATAGTTTACTACAAGTATACTCGTGACGTCTCGGAAAGTGCTCTCGTGGGACACGAGCCGTTAACTCTTCGTTAAATTTTGGTGTCAAGAAAAGAGACCAGCGATGACGTAGTTTTTTCTTGTACTCTTTGTACAATAGTAATCGCCTAAGCGATTTTCGATGATTTATCACTTTTTACCGTAATTTATTTCTGTCGGTGGGTTTAAAAATTCTTAAAAATTGAATAAATCAATTCAACAAACTTTAGCCTACGACTAATGATTTTAACTAAATTTTCCATCGAGACTTTGTATCCGATTCATCTGTATCATCAAAAGAGAGGAAAAAGCAAAACCCCACAATAAATGTGCGATCACCCGTCCCTTCCTTCCGTCGACGACGACCTCACGCCTACATCTATCATAAGCATATGCTCTTGCCCTGCATGAATTGATATATATTAACGCACACGTTCAAACACATTCCTCTTTTATATATCTTTTTCGCAGCAGCAACGACCTTTCACTCTATGTATACGTACACATCGTTATATTTATCACATGTACTCGAAAGAGACGCGCAGCCTCCAATGATACGTTATTCGCACTTGGTTGTAGCCGCATAGCTATCACGTACAAACAGAGAAAAGGTTACGAGAGGCGCGAACGCGAGTGATTTATGCGCACCTTATGGCTGTTCACTCGATAGTTGTAAGCTTTTTTTTTTTTTTTTTTTTTTTTTCTCTTCATTCCGTTGTTAGTATGTATAATATAAGTAGCGCTCGATGTGCCGAGGTGAAGAAATTGCTGTTGATGATGGTAGCGAGTGCTGTATCTTCAGAGCGGTCGGAGAGGTGTGAGAATTTATGGAGAAGTTCGAGAATTAAGTGCATGTACTCACTGCGCGTTAGCGGGGATTTTTTTTTTTTTTTTTCAATTTTAATACAAAACAAAGTTATATTGTTCGATGGACCCGCAAAATGATTGTCCGACAACTTACAAGAGAGTGGAACGAATGCGTCTATGTTTTTTTGTTCATTTGTTTTTTTTTGTCTTTTAAACAGAGACGAAGACGCCGATTTTTACGAGTTCTTCGAGACAGAGCTTTGTTTAAACGGCGCGCTTCGTTTAAAAAGGCTTTTTCGCCGAAGAACACCTTGGTCTCGCGAGTGTTTCGAAGATGCGCAAATATTTTTTTATTGTTTCCTCGTCCGAATGCAATTTCGTAACTCTTTGTCAATTTATTTATCGAAAGACCCGGCTGGAGAGGAAAACTTTTATTTGTTTATTTTTTTTTTTCGATTGGGTGGAATAAAAGTTGATAGGTTTTTTAGGGTTGTTTGCTGAATATTTTTATGTAGTTTTTGAAATACGTAATTAGATTCCAAAAATAAGTGAGGTTTTAAATATACATATAAGTATTATTATACTTGATTATTGTACCTGAGTGTGTTTTACCGTTTCCCGGAAAAGACGAGTACTAACTTAACTACTGCATCAATTCACCAGAGTCATCTACCGGGATCTATTTGAACTTTCGAGACATTTATTGAATTCCTTTATCGATCTAAGATATACGCACTTTAAAGAAAATCATGAATATATATGGTACATCTTTATTTCTACATTACCTGAATGCACATCGTAATTGTTTAACATGTATTTTTCGTTTAGTGAAATGTAGATTGTCAATAAAATGAAAAAAAAGTGTGAAATATCTTTGACCATAATTATATGCAACTAAAAAAAGAACCAACAGATTTGTATAAAAATATGTTTTATTAAACTTACAAGAGTAATAATACAAAATCTATTTTCAGATAAATACCTACAGATCATGTTTTAGTAGTAAACTAAAATATGAATGCAGCCAATAGATATATTAATTAAATTCAGTTACATCGACTTGTCAAGTTGAATCTTTGAAAAAACAACCCTTGCTTAACATCAGAAGCGCACGCGAATGATGCACCAAAATTTACAACCCCCGCGCGATAAATCATGACACTACCGGCATGTGGCATCATAGAGAGGCTACACGCAAAGAGTAGAGCTACAAGAGTAATTTGCCGTTTCTGTCGTCGTGTGGTAATTTATGCCACCGACTCTTCCTCCGCGTTGTCGTGGCACCTCGATCTTATGACAACGCCGATGTGCGGCGGCGAGACGGTGAATCCGTTCACTCCGAGCAAACAGGGCGCCGACTCGCCCGGCGCCAACTCGAAGCGAAACTTTTGCAGGAGCCGCGCTAAAAAGAGAAACAAGCTGGTCCGCGCCAAGTTTTCACCCAGGCACTTCCTGCGTCCTGCAAGCATAATCAGGGCCAGGGGTGAAGTCTTTTTTTTTTTTTTCATTGAATTTAATTTTTCGACCATCACCCAGGCACTTCCTGCGTCCTGCAAGCATAATCAGGGCCAGGGGTGAAGTCTTTTTTTTTTTTTTTTTTTTTTTTTTTTTTTTTTTTTCATTATTTCTACATACAGTTGGCGACGAGAAGATGCCGATGAAGGTCTCGAGAAAAATGGTCTTTTCAATCGAATCATCATGTGGACCATTGTGTTTTTGTGACTGTACGTGCCTCAGTTGTACACCGACACGCTGACGAGTCGTAAAATATACCGATAGAGAATTTAAAATAATTTTTTTATTAATAAAGGTAACAAAAAGTTCTCGAAATGATTGCAGATCGGTTGTCATGCAATATAATCCTTGTCCAATGTTATGGCAAAACGATCGATCCGATAATTGANACTTTTTTTTTTTTTTTTTTTTTTTTTTTTTTTTTTTTTTTATTTGCACCATCAGAACACGTGCTATAGAATACCGATTTCCTTTCAAAAGTACATTTTTTTACTCACGCGTATATACGAGTGTGGCTAAATTGTAAAGCAAATGTATTGGAAAATAATTTTCATAATCGAGCCCAGTATCTGTAATTAACTAAATCGTTCCAAGCCCATAATTGAAAAAGTACACAAAAATATTTTTATGTTTACAGTTTAGAACAGTTTTGAAAAATCATAAGAATTCATCACTTTGCAACATTTTTCCAAGACTTCTAGTTTGTTATACCGGGGTAATACAGACCCAAATAGTAAGTTAAATAATAATTTGTAGAAATAAGTCATTGCACATACTACGAAACAAAATGTATTTTCTACAGTCAAAACCACTTGTAGTTCCAAAGCAAAAGAAAAAAAAAAAGAAAAGAGGGATGAATGTATAACCTTTCCACAGGCAGTTTTTCATGATTTCTCTGTGCCCCGAAACAATAAACAATGGGCAATGAAAAAAAAAAAAAAAAACAAAAAAAAAATGAGAATAATCATAACCTGCTCCGAAAGGCATCAGCCAGGGATCCTCGATGAATTTCCCGGTTGCATCAATGAACCTCTCAGGCCGAAACTCGGTAGCGTCGAGCCAGTGCTCCGGATCCATGTGAACGCTCCGCAGATTGCCAATTACCGACCAATTCTTTTCGACGCTGTAACCCAATAACGAACAATCGGCGAGCGCCCGGTGCACCACAGTCGTGGGCGTGACGTTCGCCAGCCTTAACACCTCCGCTATCGTCGCATTCAAATAAGACAACCTGCAACAACATCAAATTATAAATATGTACGGGTATAATACATATAGATTTTTTTTTTGCATTGCATATCAACAATGGGTACGTAAAGCCTTCGCAGCGACGACATCGCTATTCCAGTCCCGTGCACTCGGTCCTTAGATATTCCGCGGAACGGAGCATTTCACTCCGAACGAAACGAAAGTACAGGCGCGAGGAGAATCCGAAATTGCCTCCCATGACCCTATTCGGATGGAAATTTCTTTTTTTTTTCTTTTTTTTTCCTTCCCTATTGGCGAGTACCAATGGCAAAAAGGACTTACGAGTTCTTGTGGGCCAATCGGGGCAGTCCGGACGGGCCGATCACCCGATCCAATTCGCGGTGGATTTTACTCTGCGAGCGCGGATGCTTGGACAGGTAGGCCACGGTGAAGCCTATCGTGTTCGAGGTGGTCTCGATCCCTGCCGAGAATATGTCCTTCAGGAGCACCACCAGCTGCAGCTCTGCGCACCCAAAAGAAGGAAGAAAGTTGCTTTTCCGTACAAACACCACGTTGTGACGCTCTTGATGAAAAACTAAAATGATCCTCACCATCGAAGCAAGACGGCTTGTCGTGATCATCGCTCGCGGACTCTATCTCGTCGAGGTACTTGTCAATGAGGTCTCTCGGCTCCCCGCTGACTTTGCTCTCCTTGTGCCTGGCCACCTCCTCCTGCAAAACGACATTACCATTGTTAATTCCATCCTACGAGATGCGTATAAAATTTTCCCGCAAATTCACCAGAAAGTAATTCGACATGGTGGCCACTCTTTGTTTCTGGTCGGCGAAGCCCGAATACTTCGGCATGATGTAACGCAGGACGGGTATGTGCTGCCAGAGCGAGCCGGTCACGCTGCCGCTGCGGAACGATTCCTTGAGTATGCGCAGGATTTCGAGCATTCCCGTTTCCTCCTTGGTCGGGTCGCATCTGTGGGCCACGAGTTTTACCTCGGGATTATTTTCAAAAGCTATAAACAAAGGGCCGGACGTTTCGGCTGATTTTTTTTATTCTATTCCCTTTGTTTCGAGAAACCCGGGGTTTTTTTTTTTTTTTCACAAACATCCCACTATCCAACATCAGCCGATTAACAATTACCAGCCTGTACCAACCCAATTCCCAAAAAAATAAGAGCTCCCCTACTTCTATTTGGTTGGAAAACCTGTACATGGTTCACCTTCTGCCGGCAATCAAGTTCCATAGGCTGCTGATCACGGCTATCGCTGTAGACTCGCACAGCTCGTGCACGTCGACTCTGCGGTCCAGCATCCCGTCTTTGATTATGTCGCCCAGCATCCTCGCGTCCTCCAGGACGAGGGTTTCCATCGTCTGTTTGCCGAATCCAAAGTCTTTCAGGACTTTAAGGGCGAATCTGAAAAGTGCCAAGTTGCCATCGTTAATAGCCCTCCTAGGATCGTTTTAAGGGGTGTCGTGAATTTTTTAAAGAATGTTCTTTGCAAAGTGACTCGTATTGGGAGTAATAAATATACGCTCGACGTGGAGTTGGAAAGTCGAGAGAGGTAACACTTGTTAAGTGGTCGAAGTATTTACGAGGTAATATTTATAACTGGGTACTACTCAGCGGTAGATTTTATGGACACCTACTCTGTGTCGGGAAAAACTTTTACGTGACGAAAGGGGGGTAATTTATCTACAAATCACCACTACGCCGTACATTGGCCGTTTGAGGGAAATAAAGCACCGCCACGAATTATCTAGGGGGACGACCGACTACTGCTTTTCAAAACAGGTATATCGGAAAACAAGTAGCTAAATTTATGAGAAAGACTTCGTTTCTTGATACAAGACACGAATACATTTATCGCAAAAAAAAAACTATAAGAGTACATTGGTTTGAAATCTACAAATTTGTCTTGAAATGACAACTAAATACAAAAGGTATTGTAAAATTACTTTTGATTGATTAAATAGGAGTTTCGTTAATGAAAGTATTAGGATTAAGTGGTGTAAAGAAAAATGAACAATACAAACAAGTTAAACGTAGGGAGCATTTGAATGGTTCCATTAATCTCTTACTGATTAGTAGTGTGATCAGTTGACCCTTGTTTCTCCCGCGTATCAATTACGTGTTGGATTTGAATACGAATAATTTTTTAAAATACTTTTCAGTATAATTCATGATATATTCAGAAAAAAAACTTGTATCAACGAGCACAAGTCATAAACTCACCCTCGAGTCAATGTTCCCCAGTACCGATTAGGTAATTAACTGACACATGGTAAAATAAAGAAAAATCAAGCAAAAAAGCAGTGCCCACCTCTTTTGCTCGCTCCAATCCTGTCCGTCGTTCAGCACGATGCCTCGCTTCTTCCCGAGGCATCGATACCTAATTTCAAAGGTGTCAGGCCTACCATCGAACTCTCGTCTCCCGAGAAAATCGAGCACAGCCTCGCGCCCCGAGACGACGACGATCGGCTTGGCCAGGCCGAACCTCAGCCGCAGTATCGGCCCGTAAACTTCGGCCAACTTCGCCAAGGCGCCGAAATGAAAGCCCGTTTCCTTCACGAGTCTGTTCACTTGCAGCAGGTTACCGATTATCGGCAAGCCACGCGGCCCTTTCGTTAAACGGAATATTTTTTTTCGTCAATAACAATGAGGTTCCTCTTCTCGAACAATCGAACATTACCTGGTGGGTAGACCTTCAACTTGCTCCTGCTCCAATCGACGATTATCTTGGACAGCAAAATGATGACGCAGCCAGCGAGTAAGAGCCACATGATGCGCGAGACGAGACACAAGGCACTTTGTCACTCATGAAACCAAAACGCTTCGTCGAGGCGCACGCCAACAACCGCAGCTCCACGCGCTTCGCGACTGTACGAAAAATCATCTCACAGCCAATGCAGCCGATCGACCCATCGATGGCGCACTCGCAAAGGGGTATAAATGAGAGAGAAAAAAAAAAAAAAAAAAAAAAAGAAAAAAAACCCCGACACACACGTGTCACTTTCACTGAGGTGCACAACACTTTGAGACCAAGACTTGGTGCACCCTAGCAAGGTCATTGCGCATTTTTTCCTCTTTCGTAAACTCATTGCCTTACCCACATATACCCCCCAAAGAATGGTCACACGACCACCGGTTTTTCAACGCCCGGTTTACCTTCACTTTCCGCGTTTTTTTCTCGTTTTTTGCACACCGTAATTAAGTACACGCGCAACGGCAGTTGCCCTATCGCGCGGTATTGGCGACCGTTACGTGAATAAGACGCGAATGTGTGTCGCTCGAAGCTGCTGCTGATGATCGTCTTTTCATACGGGATTTTTTTTCGTTCCTCCTCGTCCACGACTCTTTGAGTAGGAAAGTCGAGGGGGTAATGAGCTTTTGCCACCTCTTTGTCGGGCTTTGATGTAATAGTTTGGTGAACGCTTGATCATCCAAGACTCTGGCTTTGGAAAGTTAACAAGTGATAACAAAAAAGACCCTACTTTTAATCAACAAAACAGTTCGTGTTGCGAAATTTCCCTTTCATAGTCTTGCAAAAATCGTTATCGGTGTACCGATCCGACTTTTGCCGCTGTAATAATATGTGGAATCCGATCCGAGCATTACACCCGTCCGATTAAACGCGCCTAAAGCACGTAAAGCGTTTTGAAACCCCAAAAAAAAAAAAAAAAAGTCGCTCAAGCGTTGCCCGCCGATTGTGAGCAACCGATTGAGAAATCGGTAGCGCGAATAAAAAGAGGGGAAGAAAAGGCGCGTTTTCCTTGTATCGCCACTGCAATCGAATCTAAACGAAGCGAGCGTGGGTTTCACTAAAAAAATGAAACTTAAACACTCGCCCCGTGTGTTTTCATAATTTCCTGCCAACACCCCGCGTCCTTTCCAATATTAGCATAAAATACACGCCTCTCGGGAGAGCAGAAAAGCGCGACTTTTTCAATACTCCATCGGGACTTTCGAAGCCTGCGTGTGCCGGACAAAAGCGCCGGTAAGAAAAACAACAGAATGTATTCACGTGTCTATATACCCGCGCTATCTCTCGTTCCAGTTGCGCGGCCGTGCACAGAGGTGTCCAAGAGCATTAAAATATTAATACCCCATTAAGACGCCCCGTGTGGCGAATTCCTCGCTTCTTTTTTTACGGGGAAAGAAAAGAGCCTCGCACACGGCCAATAAAACATTGAACATTGTGTCGTTGGCTCGATGATATTTTCCCGAGTCGTGTGTGTGCGCGTAAACGTAGAAAGAGAAAAGTGGCCATAGCAGCTGCGAAATGGGCGCCAATAAAGAAAAAGAAAAAAAAAAAAATATGAGCCAGCCTATGGCCGAGAGAGTCCCATTGGAAATCCGCGATATCACGTGCCCGCTTTCTATGAGCCGAGTGCGCGCTGCTTCTTCCTTTTTGTTTGATGAATGTACATGTTTTTGGTCTGGTTTTTTTTTTTTTTTTATAGTTTTGTTGGTTGTCGGCGCTAGTGATGGGTGGATTTTTCGGTATTTGTTCATGTGCGTATGAGAGCGAGAGTGGAATTTACCGTTCGTTTAGCTGGAAATGTCGATTTCATTTACCGGTTTACTTGTTTAAAATAAAATCCACCGACGCTCGATTTATCTCATACACAATTTTTTAATTTGAAAAGCTAATAGAATTCCGAAATTGTTGAATTTGAGTTGTTAATACCTAAAGTTACCCCTTTGCCACGCAATTAATATAGATTGTGTAGAAATATTTGTCAATGAAGAGTAATTTCATCGATGTTGGTTTATCAAAACTTGGTAAAATAAAATTAATCTTGACTTTTGAGTAATCAATTGATTCCCAAGCTGTCAATCAATATCACGTTGTCAAACTAGAGGTTGTACTTATTTATTGCTTTCGCGTAATCATCGATACGTATAGAAACTTTATGCTGTACCTGATCGTTTGCCAAGTTGTAGGAATTTTTTTTTGCCCTTCCGATCAAGTAGTTTTTTCTACAAATAGATTTCTCCCGAGAAGCTTGAAAAAATATAGATTAAAGTTATTGCAAACATTACCTCAACAAATGATCAATAATAACCACTTTGAAATCAACGTTTTGAATGTGAACGTCAACGACGTTTCATACCACAAAACCCGAGCAGCAACACTCTAAGGAAAACCAATAAAACCCCACGCCAGTCACCGATTTTTCCGTCAAAGCGATCGATTACCCATCGCGTTCTCCCAGATCCTTATTTTCAATCCCGCAACCATTCCGTAACTCTATCCTCCAGCGGTTAGAAACTTCAACAGCCGTGGTCATTAGCCGATACGCCGATTTCATCGAAAGTCTCCCACGAGCCGGTTAATTAACACCATACACGCCCCTCCCCGAAATTCATCCGCCTTCCCAATATTCAGACCATCCCGCGAGCGCTCGCCTAATTTCCATGTCAACAATACACCTCTCTTTCTTTCTTTCTTTTCTCTCTCTCTCTCTCCCAGTGTACAGTAACAAGGAGAAAACATTTGCGCGGATTCGAGCGCGCAAAACTTTCGAGCCGCATGTTTAACTGCGCAAAGTACGTGCTCGCGCATTTTACGCGTCGGGCCATCCTCTGTCTCTCTCTCTCTCTCTCGTTTTTTTCCTTTTCTTTCCAATATTCATACGAGCTTCGGGGCAAAAGAGCGCGTGTATGTAACCCCGCGGGCGACACGCGGAATGTAGAATCGACCGATGCAGCTGGCCGGTGCACCGATTTCGCGGATTAGCCGCTTTTACCCCGATAAATCAATCGCGTGATGAAAGTTGCGTCGTTCGAGGCTCCGATTGACATAGTCACGCCGAGGTTGGCTCTGCTTGCGAGAAAGTGGGCCTTGCACTGCTGCAGTTGAAACATCTTAATAAGTAACATTTGTAGAAAATAAAAAAGATGATGCACAAAAAACAGAGCAAACCGATACGTATCGATTGGGCTCGTTAAAACTGTGCATTTGGTGTACACCCAGCTGGTTATTGTTCGGCGTTTTTTAATCTCCCGGTTGCATCGACGCTATCGAAAGGCCTGGTCGAGCATTTCGGTTGGAAAAATTAAAATTCGTTCATCTTTCGTTTCGAGGTCACGGTCGCAAATGACGTTACCGCGATCCAATTGATATATTATACTTTTTCCAAAACCCCGTTTCCACGAACCCCACTGCGCGTCTCTCTGCTCCGTTATTGTTAATTAAAAGTCTCGTAATAGCATTCAATTGAAAAGGAGGATCCGGAAGTTTTCCTCGGGCGCACTTTCTCACAAAAACTGTGCTAAGCCAACTATACCCCGTGGTAATGTCGGTGGCGCGGAAGTTTGCCTTTCTGCGAGCGCGTGTATCCCGCGGATATCCACCGCGAGCTTTGTGACTTTTAACTCGGATAATGATACGTGTATAGTTGATGCCGCGCGCGGAGAGAGGCGCGAAAAAAGGGAAATCAGGCTTCTTCTTATCCTTTGCTTCGTGATGATGGCAGCCTTTGTGCCGATCGGTGGCGCGCTCGCAGAAGCACGAGCGTATACCGTTTACGACGATTGAAAGGGAAATAATTGAGATGAAAGATATACACGCGTGCGCGAAGGTGAGGATTGAGAAACAACGGAAGAGGAGAAACCGAAGGATCATGTTGCGGACATCTATACGCACGTTATGTGGAAAGGATCCGAGAAATATCTGTATATATATATGTATTCACACGTGCGAATGAGTGTACATATACCTAGGATAGAGAGAGAGAGAGAGAGAGAGGTGAAGGTCTCGTCTTTTCTTTATCTGCCGGTCGTGCAACAAAGTGAGCAAGATTGCATGAAGATGGGAACTTTCTGTTCTCAAGGGAAGGAGCAGGAGATATTACTAGCTGTTAGCTCCAGATGGATTGTTTTATACATAAAACGTGGAGGTACATGCGAAAGAAAATGAAAGAGTATCTTATAATATAATATAAAATATGTTATACACACGTCTCTGTTTTCTGTACGTATATCCTTTGATCTACTTTTCGAGAACAATCGCTCTCTGTGTGCAGTATTTTGAATACTTTTCGAAATCATTGATGTACGTCAGCTGAATCAGATCAGTCGGTGGAGTGAGAGGCTCTTCACCTACGAATCTGCAGCACCTGATTCGAGAACAATTGAAGTTATGTTGAATATTGGTATTAAGGGTAGAAAAAGAACAGTGTTATTATAACAACGACTTAATAGAACTAAACGAGTAATATTATTGTCGCAAAAAATCCCATTGGACAATTTTTATTTTTGCTACATCTTTAACTTTATTTTTTACAATTACATTAATGTTGAAAAACTCAAACGTGTGTCCGATTTTAAACAAAAATAAATTGTCAAAGTCGCCAACTCCTCTGATACTTCAAAGGGGAAAAACTTGGAGTAAAGTTTGCGTAATAGTTTTAGAAAAAAAAAAAAAAAAATCCAAAAAGTGAAATCCCACTGGCCAAAAGAGCCAACTTACTCGGGGAAATAAAAGCGAACTTTCGTGAATCCTCGTGTACGCGCACAGTGTATGTTATACGCCCGGGAATCCATCGAGAAAACAGTGGCGGCAGTAAAATACACAAACACGTGTGAGTAGGTGTATGTCCTGAAAACAAAAATACAGACGCGCGCCAGACGAATGATACGTATACACGCACACGGTGTACTTGGGTGTGATATATTGAAAAGAGAGAGTGTGCGACAACGAGGGAGAAAAGGACAAGTAAAAAGAAGAGAGAAAAATAGTCAAGTGCGCGAATGCGAGCAAACTAAGTAAAATCGC